TAGTAAAACGTGTTTAAACATTTTATAAATTTTTAAAAATTATAATGTACAAAAAGATTTACGTGAAAACTATTCCAAATTTCCAAACTAAATACTTACACAGATAATTGTTTTTCTATTAAAAGTAAAATAAATAATATAAAATATTCACCAAAAAATAAATAATAGAAAATAATAAAAAATATTTTTTATTTTGTAAATTTTACATATAAAAATGAAATTTTTGTCATATGAAAATATTTTAATTATAATATAAATGATATAAACAAATATTTATTTTAATAATATATATTGGTTGATATCAAATAATATATTTATTTATTAATAATGTGTACTGATTTATATGTTTATATGTCTGAATATATATATGATAATTTATATTATCAACACATTTACATAATTTCCATAATAATATATGAGATATGTAAAAAATATGTGTTAAATTAAACATATGTATTCAATTATTTATATATTAAGATTGAAATGTCATAACAATTCAACTGTGAAAAAGCGCACATGAAAAAGAAATTTTGAAAATATTTAAAGAGAATTAAAATATATTGCTCACGCTAATATTGGAGGGCTCAGGATGGACATTTATTTATTTATTTATTTATTTATTTGGATCTTCCTTTTTATTGATTACTTGAAGTTAAAGCAGGGGTTTTGACAAGTGATTTGTTCGGGCGTTACGTAACTTTGGTTCGCTACCAGTTTGAATGAATGAATGCAAGATTTTTCTTTTTTAATGCATGGAAATTTTCATCGTAGAGAAATTGAACGTTTTAGGTAACCGCTTTGCAGATAGTTTAGGTGCGAGGATATTTGTTGCTCACCGTCAAACAGCCAATCAGAGGATGATTAATGTTGTTAAAGAGCCCTAACAAAATATCAGCTTTAAAATGGCAATCCCAGTTGAATAGAGCGCGGGTAAAACATTAGTGGCTTAGAGCCTCTCTCTTTTTCTTGTCTTTTGTCTTGTCTTGTTTTTTTTTTTTGGGGGGGGGGGGGTTGGAATTAAGCTCAGAGCACTGTGAAATACATACCTGGAGAGCATGATTAGCATATATACGAGGGGATGCATGCAAACTACAAGTTTCAACGCACGAAAACAGAACAGTCAGACAGTACACGAAAGGAAGTTATAAAGCCCAAGGACAGCGTTTCAAAAATAGCCCAACAAAGTTCCAGTGTTTACGCCCCGTGAGTACTTAGAACGCTTTGTTTCAAATCTTCATCATGTTTTTAGCAACGCCCTCTGCTGCCACAACAACAGAGGACGTACCTTTGACCCCCCAGAAAAAAAAAAAAAAAAACAAGAACAGAATCTGTTCCTTTCCCCCCGCCGAGTTACCTGGTTATAATTTCGTATCAAATAAATGATGAATGGCATACTACGATATACGTGCACTGCAGATATATATTCCCTAGCTAACGGGACATATTATATTCAGTATTGCACCGTATAAATAAAAACCAGACTCCCAAATTAATTAAAGAAATTAATTTGATACTTTAAATGGATATCGATGATCTTTCGACCATTTTTCGTTGTCATCAAGTGAAGAATATGGCCAGATAGTTAGTTCTCTCTAACATTAATGCCCTTGTGATCGGAGAATTGATCCTACATTCTTCATGTTTGAGGACTTTATTCTCCAAAACAACGTCGCTTCCCTGATTCCGTAATTGTTTTTTATTTTGAAAGAACAAAGTTAAGCACAAACCTAACACTAGATGAGCCAACAAATCATTCTCCCTCAACGTTAGTCACTTTTTCCCTTTTGTTCCATCACAGAATTCTCTCACCCTGGTCCTTCATCACTCTCTGCCATCCATATAATTTGTCACTCAGGTCAGGTTAATTAGTCTAAGGTGGCTTTATCATAATTTTAATTTTTTTAATAAATATGAAGAGTAGATGGTTTTTCATAAGAGACACGAACTTTTTACAGCTCATCACAAGTTTTTTTAAAGAAATTATGATAAACGTTAATAATTTTATTAAAATTTATAATAAATTATGTCGGTAATGGAACTTATATTAAAAAAATACATTTATTAAATATCATATAATTTGTTTGCGGCGTTATTTTAACGAAAACGATGGAGAATAAGTTCACATGCCAAGGAAGGGCATCATTTTTTTTTTATTAAAAAAACGCAAGATACTAAAGCTTTGAATAGAATACACATGATCATTTGGAAAAGTGACTTTTTTGGGGTGATATACCCTTTTGAGGCTAATTAAGCAAATGTTAATAATTAACTGGTATTCTAGCCTTGTGGCACTAATGCCACTTGCTTCTCCTCGCGGATCAGATTAAGGCATCTAGCCGCTAAAATAATTGTTATTTTGTGTGTTAAATCGCATCATATTGTACTTTATTTAGCTCTTCTTTACCTTTTTTTTCTTGTTGATTTTTCAAATTAAGTGCATCATCCTCTCTCCTATTATTAATTAAAATGAAGGCACTGGATCCCTGGACATATAAAATTCGAATGCAAATGCAGCTATTTACAGTTGGCCATTAATTAATTCGTTGAAGCAGTCGAATAATATACATATATAAGAGTTATAATTAGATGGTGAACGATTGAGATTTGCATCCTTAATATCAGTTGTTAATTTAAGTACGTACCTGATATGATAACACGCGAAACAAGCCAGGGACCCTAAATAAACTAACAAGTTTCTTTAGCAGGAATAAGAAGGGACGAAGGCTCTGTTGAAAAGAAGAGGCTAATATGGAAAGACAAGCACAATATCTGTGAAGGATATTGGGGATACAAAAGATCAAGTATCTTGTTTAGTTAAAAATCTGGCATTTTGTTTGGGACAATTACACATGGGCTTGTTGCCAGAAGGAAGCAAGCTTCAATTTCCTTCTATTGTGGAGCCAACTCATCCCCTCTCTATAATTCTCAATGTCACTGACACACATCTGGCGGGCTAATTAAATTTATAAATCAAAGAGCCAAAGCCTTTTTTTAAAAAAACAAAAAACAAAAAAACAAAACTGCTATGTTCTCTCCGAGAGAATAACCTTTAGTGGGCAAAATATCCCCGACGTCATGGCTAAAGCTGACGTGGCATATGATGCAGCCTCAATTATTTGCAGGTTTTTGAGAGGATCAACATTGTCTGAGGTAGACAGTTAACGTGAGGTTGATAAACAAGTTTGGATGCCACCTCATTGTCTTCGTCACTAACCCTCGTTAATTAATTCTGGTTATATATATTCTTTCCGTGATTGTTTGATACACATTGACATACGTCGCATATGTTACTTCATTATCAAAAACTTCTAGAATACAAGAAAATTCTAGGCCAGATCAAACACCATTAATCAAATTGGGAAGAATTTATGTGTATATGAAATGGCGGCTTAGACTCAGACACACACACAAGACCAGGTTAATTCTACGTGGAAGAGGAGGTGTAATAAATGAAGCTTCTAGAAGATTGTGAAAGAATGAAGGATGGTGTAATGGACTTTGAGAGGAAAAGGACAGAAGGAGAAGAGGTCAGCATCCAAGGACCGTGTGGCAGGAGGAAGAGGTAGCAAATGGATCGAAGCAGGGTCACGACCGTAGTGTTGGATTCAAAGAGCTTAGCTTCTATTCTATGTCCTAATAAAAGCCCTACAACCTTGATGCTTCCATTCGAATCTCTCTCCAGTTTCTTTCTCCCATTAATGTTGTGTGCTTGCTTTTCTCTACAGATTAATTTCCCCCATAATGGAATTCCCAGTAAACACTACAGGAAAATGAGAACACAAATACACGCTGATGCATGCACGTGGCATCGGTTTGAGACTACTGTACTATATATACAATATGGTTTCCGCTCATTTAATTGATAAAACGCAGGTTTTATATATATATATATATATATATGCACGCAAATTAATTTATGAGGAGCTCTACATCAAGCTAAAACATTTATAGAAAGATCTAGCATAAGGTCATTCAGCAGAAAATGCAGATATTTATTAAATCTTATCTAATATCATACTACTGCACCACCTAATCCATCAATCCCCCCCCCCCCACATATATATATATAGTGGGGAAGGAGTTGAAAAACGGTGCGTAGTTAAATATTGCAGTCATTTCGAAAACGTACAAATTCAACGGGAGGATTTGGTTTGAAGAAGTTGATGAAAGAGAGATGGAGGAGATTTCAAATTAATTATATATACAAGCCGAGGGAATAGTCAAGACTAGTTAGGCAAAAAAAAAAATATTAATAATGCTTGAAAAACCTCATCTTACGTGCACTGTTTTTCTTACAGCAAGTTAAATGAGCAATATATTTGGGAACCCTACGACCAGAAATAATCGAGATCAATTCCTTTCATATTTTGGTCCCCACTCCCACCATTTACTTCTCTTTGATCCTCCCCCCACAGACCATATACTTCTGCAATAGGCTATCATTTATTTCATTTTAGTCCATAATGGCATCAGCATCCCTTTCCACTTAAAGAAAAAGAAATTTATTCCTCTACCATTCAATTGCAAATTATATTTCCCCACGCTCTCTCTCTCTCTCTCTCTCTCTCTCTCTCTCCAAACAATACTTCTTCCCCAATACGTGTGTGTACTACAGACAGTGCACCAGGCTCTATCATGCGCGCACGCGCACACAAACACATATCAGATCACAGAAAAGATTTGGAGATGCTCAACGAAGTTAAAATCTTCCTATTCACCCAATTACAATGACGCTCGGCATACTCCAGTTTAAATAGCGATGATGATATACGCAGAAAGTCATGTTGTTACAATTGAAGTTTAAAATTGCTTCTCAAAACAAAACAAAGATTCTGTGAGTGGGGTTAATTAGCATATAGTTAATTAGAGCACGCAAATGGAGATTCCCCCCAATCCGATGAAAAAAAAAAAAAAATAGCCAATAAAAGTGTGCCCTGCTGAACGCCTTAGCTGTACTCACATCCATATAGTTTTATCCCATACACTAACCCATCTCACCTATATATACACACCTTTCGCTCTCCGCCCTGCTCTCACATCTTCAGATCACACTCAAGAAGCGATAATATATAATGTCAGGGGTTTGGGTGTTCAAGAACGGCGTCGTTCGGCTAGTGGAGAATCCGGGGGCCGACTCGGTGCAGGGCTCGAGCAGGCGCAAAGTGCTGGTTCACACTCCTTCCAATGAAGTCATTACGTCCTACTCGGTGCTTGAGCGCAAGCTGGTTTCCCTGGGGTGGGAGCGCTACTACGACGACCCTGATCTTCTTCAGTTCCACAAGCGTTCCACCGTCCACCTCATCTCTCTCCCCAGGGACTTCTCCAAGTTCAAGTCCATGCACATGTATGACATCGTCGTCAAGAACAAGAACTCTTTTGAAGTCAGGGACATGATGTAAACCATGTTCTCTCGCAACTCTCTCTTTCCATTTGCTTTGTTTCTGATTAATTTATGCCGCGCGGTCTTGGGGCACGCGGGTTGTGTGTCTATATAGTATATCTAATCTATGTGACTGCTACTGTAACGTTAATTTCAGTACCGTGCAGGTCAGTTTGTGTTCTAATCGATATAGATTGATATTATATATATCTATATATATATATATAAGGTCTGATTGCGTGCTGGTGAGAAATGACAACTGAGTGTCATTACTGTGTGCTCCTGTAAATCTTTATATTCATTCCGCAATAAAATCTGAGTTTCTTCTCCCCTGTATATTTGTGTGCTACTACCATATTCTGGAATACTATATTCCAGGGTTTATATTTGATTGTGGATATTAAACTTTAAATACAATTTCTTATTCTTTAATCATCAATTTTTGTTAATTGTAGTATAATAATTATAAGGTTTTTTAATTGAATGTGATGGAAGCTTTTTTTTCCCCTATTATTCTCGTTACTCGGATCTCTTCTTTATTCGATTCTTTTGTTATCTTTTGTTCAATGCGAGGAACTCGACAGAATAACATATATATCAGGAATCTGGTTTCTAGGTGAGATGATGGCTTATTTTTCAAATAAAGAAAAAAAAGGAAATCATGGGATTTTCGTTTCTGTTTTTGGAGTTAATACGAGCTGGGGAAGGGGCAAAAGCCACAAAGAAACTAAGCAATGGGATTCTTGTTTTAGGCTCTCATGCATGCTGCATGCATGATGGATTGATGACAAATGAAGGCTGACAGGAACATATGACACATGATGTGATCAGCAGCTAACCGACTAGCTAGCTAGCTGGATCAACTTAAGTAGTTGTGTGTTTATTTTGCTTTATATACGTTTTTTTCCTAAATACTACGGCTACGCAATATGTACGAAGAGAAGGCCTGAAATGATCAAGTGGAGTGCATATGTAGAGTGGAGGGGTTCACGTGAGAGGAAGTTCGATTCATCCACTGTTGACAATTTGGCTTTGCCTCAGACAAGGGCCTGTTTTCTTTCTTTTATGTGAGTTCAAAGCACAAGTGGACAGGTCTATCCTGTTTGAGTGTGTGCGCGCACGCACATGGAAAGTGAGAGAATTTTAGTCAAAGAGTGTGGATGTGATTTAATTACTAATGAGTAAAAAAAATTTAAAATTTCAATTTAATTTAAAAAAATTAAAGTGAAAATATTTTCAACGATAATATAATTAAATTATCCTTCACTTGTTATGTAAAATTATTAGTTATTAATTTTTTTACTTATTAATTTACCAATGTGAGTTATAAATTATATTCGTTTGTTACACAAACAGTAATAGTAGTTGTTAATTTATTCACATCAGTTGTAAAATATAATACTTATCAATAATTTACAATTAATGTTAGTAAATTTAATAATTAATATTGCTATTTGTAATTTTTTTCACCAACAATGTTACTATTTGTGATTGAACAACTGATATTAAATTTTTTATAATTATTGATATATAAATTCATGTAATTTATAATTTATATTAATAATTAATAAGTGAAGTAAGAAAATTTACAATTAATAATTTTGTATAATAAATGAAGTGTAGTTTGATCTTTTTCTCCATTGAAATTATTTCTACCTTAATTTTTTTGGACTAAATTGAAATTTTAAATTTTTTTAGGACCCATTAGTAATTAAATCTCATCCATGGTCTTTAATTGAAAATTTTGATTTTTTCTTTTGTCTTATGAAACGAAATACAATAATTGTCCGCATCACACACTCAAATAATTTTACGAGATCAGTTAGCCTTGTACATAAAAATATGAAAAATCAAGCGAGAAATTTAAAGATCATCCTTTGCATTTAGGGGCGCTGGGAATTACTCGACGAACAAATTAACACTTATCCTCAGCACGTGATGGATTTGTCTTGAAGCGTAAAGCATCAACACATTATCTGGACTTTGGCCTCCGGCACCTTTACCTAAATTAAATAGCATTTATTTCTGCACATGGAGAAACGACGATTTGCCTAAACCTTGGCGTATATATATGTCATATGTGATATTTCATTTTCCATTTAAAAAGAAAAAAGAAAAGAAAATTGAGTTGGAATTCCAGAAGATATAAGGATCATTTCAGTCCATTTATAGTGTAAAAACAGGAATAAGGATATGATCACATGCTGATGCCCATACTCTATGATGTGGGAAATAGCTGGCTTGAATTTCCCTGTATATATGAGTAAGAAAAAATAAAAGTAAGAAGAATATGAGTTTTACTTGGAAAAAAATAATGGTAAAATATTGATGGGGAGATATGAGGAATATCTGATCCACAAGGTATAAGGAATACCCCCAATGGAGATGATATGAAACGAAACGACAGTAGTCGATCGTTGTATCCAGTCGCACAAAGTAAGAACCTTCCATCTTGTTTTTCCTTTGAAATGAACCCTGTCATGCCCTAAAAAAAAATATTCTCAAAGTTACCATGCATGCATTGAACTCAAACTTTTGGTGCACCCTAGGCATCATTACTCGATTCCAAGTAACATACGTGCTTCTTATTAGAATGGAAGTTGCGGGTAGAGAGAACCCCGAATGACGGTGTATCTCATCGTAGAGTGGCCACCAGTTTAACAAATTAAAAAAGAAAAAAGAAAAAGAAAATGCATTAAAAATCATGAGGATAAGACCCTTATCACCATATGTATGAGTGTATATATTATGAGGGAGAAAAATCTCACAGAAAGGGACGCTGGCATGCATCATGCATCGAGGTAGTAGCCCATTCTGGTTTTGAATGGGCAAACGATGCTCTTTTCTCATTAAGTGGTCAATTTCTTTCCTTTGAATGAAACTCCAAAGAATCCTGGGGAAGAATAGCTCAACCATTCCCAAAGTGTGGGGCTAGTGACTTCTTTTCTTTCTCTTATTAATTATTGGGTGGCAAATCAGCCTGGTCTTTCTTTTTGTCTTCCACAATGAGTTTTAGGTTTTCAAAGGGGACTAGTTTAACTGCTTCTATCCTATCATGCCCTGGAAAAATTTCGATTTAGACTTCGAAGTTAATTAATTCTTGTTTCGTTTTCATTCTTGGGCAGACACAAGCAGAGCTTTTAAGTTGGGTGTTAGAGCTTGAGTTAATTACCCGATTCAAAGAGAATAATTAATTTCTTTATACGAGACTTCAACATAATTCTTTCTTGAAATATTGTCAGGCGCCTTGTAATACCAAAAACGTTTTGCATGTCTAGGGAGCAAGATGATTGTCTTGTTAATTTGATCTTCACATTTTTATTCCGGCAGTTAACAATAAGCTACATCGCAGTTGAAAGTAGAACATGATTAAGCTTGCAACAACCAAGGAAGGGTGTTCTTGGCGCACGTTAATCAAAGCACTAGTAGTTAAGCATGTCAAGGCACGTCAATAAAACTATACTCCCTCCATTGAAAAAAAATAGTATCACACAATTTAAAAAAATCGATTAACTATAATAATTGTGTTTGAAAATATAAGAGTTGGACTATAATATCCTTTATTAATTATGTTAATCAAGCTTTCATTAATTATTTCTCATAACTATGAATGATAAATTATAAGGGTAATTTAAAAAGTTTGCAATAAATGCCTGTTGAAAAATGTAATTTTACTTATATAAAAAAATAAATTAAAAATGATAGTTTCTTTTATAATTAAAAACGGAGAAAGTACATAGTTATTGCATTATCAATTGACATCTTGAAATGAGTCAAATATTTGAATAACGAAGAACCATTGTCTATTTCTCCCCAACTTATTGGTATTTTGCTAAGCTAATTAACAACACATTCCTACCATTAATATTTAGTTACTGGCATATTGCCAAACACTACTAGAAAATTTCAATAGTAGTAAGTACTAATCACTAACATTCGTATATCAACCACTATTAAAAAAATGTGAGTTGGTGAGAGAATTTAGTGAAGGATTATCTATTCCTCTCTAAAAATATTAAATTAGTAAGGAATGTTAATTTTGTAGATTGATTTAAAATTAATAAAAAAATAATGAAAGACTGTCAATCCTACTATAAAATAAAATAATTAATAAGAAAAATAGTGAGGCATTTTTATACATCTATAAAATCATAAAATTAGCAATAAATTAGTAAGAGATTATGCATTACTCTTTAAAATAAGATAATTAATAAGGAAATTAGCTGCATTTTTATACCTCTTTAAAAATAAATAATTAGCAAAGAAAATAGCAACACATTTTCATACCTCTAAAAATAAGACAATTATAGAGAGATGACGTTTAATTATTTTCATTTAAAAAGAAAAGTTAAATTTAAAAATTAATCAAAATATTTATAATAAAATTATTTAGTATTTAATACTTGGTTTATTTTAAATTCATTTTTCTAACAAAAATAATATTTTACCAAAAAATATAATATATAGATTTAATTTATCATCTATTAACTACAAGAATATTTTAATTCAACTAATAAAGAAGATATAAGGTCAAAAGCCCAAGTGATTTTGGGCCTTTTCATAAATATAAAAGATTTAGTGAGCCTTTTTCAACTATAAAATTAGAAGGATTCGTCACTTGAACCCTCCTTCTTAGGCCTGTGTAGTTGTTCTGGACTACAAAAAAGGAAACATTTTCTTTTTATGGCTCAAGCCATCTTCTATTACTGAAAAACCACCCTTTCTTTTCTATTCAATTTAAGTGGGAAAGCAGATTAATTACAATTGTGCGTTTTGAGAAGAACCAATTCCACTACATGAAATTAAACAAAGATATATCCCCCCTCTCTTTATAAAAAAAATTCCCAAGGCTTAATGTATACTAACCATCAAAGAAGGTAAGGTTTTGCATTTTTACCTCCAGTTGCCAAGCCAAAGCTCCCCCTTCAAAGTAGAATATTTCGCCAAATTGCGCACTCAAACATTAATGCACAAAAATCTATATGCTAGCTTGTGCAGTCAAATCCATGGCAAATAGAAAGCCAGATAATGAGGACCAAAAATAACAAAATTCCTAGAACCACCAATTTGATTTTCATGTTTTGATACCACATCTTCCGGTGAATTTGAGTTCCTCGGTTTTTGAAAGTTTGGGCCTGAAAAGTAAGAGATCCTTCAGGCCTAGAAAGCACAATAATATGATAAACACAGTAGTTGTATAACTGTAGTTAACTTACCTGTGTACACAATATCTCGGTCTTGTCCATGAGAATACATAGATTCTCCCCTCTATCAAGAGCCTGAAAGCGCGTAGAGTGAAAATAAAAATGATAACTTACTATTTTGTCTTGCTTTGTACCATTTAAAAAAAAAAAAATTGCACCAGCCACAGTTAAATGTCGATATGACAACTCGTCATAGCGATGGTAACTCATACAAGTAGGATAATTCATGGAAAGAATTTAGTGATGACAGAAGTTGACTTTAGTTGCATATTACACATTTAAATAATATTAGTAGTGAAATGATGATTGAAAGAAGCATGTCTAGACTGCATAGTTTTATTGTGTCATTAAGAGCAATACTGGAGTATTAAAAAAAAGTATACTGGATCCTGCATGTCCAATGACTGTGTATTCATTGTCTTCAATAATTTCAGCCCCTGACAATTTTTTTTTTTGGCTGAATTACAAGGAGGCTAACAGAAAGATAATGTATAATTAAAGCTCAGCATAGTCTTCATAAATTGAAGAAAAGAAGATCCTTGTCTTCAAGAGAAAAGCATGCAATTGGCAACTGATTAAATGTTTGGCTGTCAACTGTGCATGGAAAATGAAAAACTCAGTCTCATCTCATGTAGAGTAGATACCTTGTCAATGTTCTCTAACATTATGCTTTTGACTTCTGAAAATTGAGCCTTCACTTTTAATAGCTTTTCAATCTCTTCAGCATGATCAATGATATATTTCATATGCTCTTTCATATTCGGTCTGCAAATATGCACAAATATTAATCATTTCCTATCATTGCAGTAACATATCAAGTAAGGATTCAAAATATATGAGTATACTGTATACCCAAACTCCCTGTTAAGACTCTTGGCAGTGGCTGTATCTGCTTTTCCGCCACCATATCTTTTCTTAAAGTCTGCCTTCACACGTTCTAGGAAAGCAATAGAGATCTGCTTGCTAACAGATTCTTTTGCAACAACACAGTATGCTGCATCTTACAAAAAGCTCCGTCATGACATAGAGAGCAATGCAATCCTCAAGCAACAAAATTTTACTGGTAAATCTTGAAAAACGAAATCTTAGCGCCATGGAAACGGCTTCCAAACAAGTCATATTCATTTCAAGATAAAATCGATTAATTAAACCAGCAATTGAAGATCCGCACGCCATTTTGGTTCAGACAAAAATGTCACCGGCAAAAAGAGGTACAGAGTAATTTGGATATACCGTAACCATCCTCGAGGAGAAAATTGAAAGTATGGTGATCACAGTTGTAGGTGAACTTGTTGTTGGAGGAGGGTAGTTTGTGGAGACACTGAGCAGCAATCGCCGGGAAGTTTCCAGTGAACTCGGTGTACTCGACTAACACCATCGTCCCCCGAGCCACAAAGCTGTATATAAACAACTCCTGACTCATTGCTCAGCAAGTCCTGTGTCAGGCCGCTCAAAGCTCGGACAGAGGGAACGAGAGCTTTGCCTGGTTATTGGGGTTCAACTACATTTGCATATTTCTAGGACCCTTCTGGTTTTTTTTTCTTTGCAACTAAGAAAGAATTTCCTCTTTTTGGGGATTGGAAATCAAAGAATCCTGAAATTAATCCTCTTGCACGGCAGCTCGCAAATCAGCGCTACGACGGCGTTTCATGTGGAAGTGATTGTTAAATCAGCGCCGCAAAATCAGGGCCCAGCTAATTTTTTTATTTTAAATTGTAGTATTTGATGGCTGACTGTATTTGACGGGAGCTCGAATGTGGTATGTGAGTCCGCATGAAACGCACATGACCCGAATGATGATTGCCCAAATAATTAAACCCGGTGAGAGTAAAGTGAAAGATAAGTGAGTATTAAAATTTTAAAATTGTGCAGAGGACAAATATTTATGACTAGGGTGACGGGAGGCGCGCTGTGTGCTGTACCTTTTCGGTGCTTTTGTTGACTTATTCCTTTACAAGGGTCCGTTTGGGTATCATGAGTTTTACATTTTGGAGGTGAATTTACCCTTTTGAAAAATTAAAAGTTGTTTGGTTAATTTTTTTTTAGATAAAAACACATTTAAAAAGCATATTGAAAATGTAGATGAAAGTGAATTTTTTCAACCTGACTTGGGGGAGCTTTTTAAAAGCACATTTCTCCAGACCAATCACACACAAACAATTGGAAATATTTCCTATTGATGTATCTGTTCGCTTGATTGTAACTCTTCTATCTATTCAATTCATATTTTACGCAATTGTAAATAAGCTAAAGAGGTTTGAAAAAAATTAGTTTATCTTACAAGACTTAACGCCTTCTTCTTTCTTAATGTGCAAGATTAGATAAGTTGAAATGTAAAGAATGAAGCAAGTAGCTTAAGAACAAGAAGAATGCCCTAACAAAAACTTTTTGCACAAGCTTGCTGAAATGTTTTGAAAGCTAGATGCAAAAAATTATACTTGAAAGATGAAATCTCGTACAACGATATTGCTTTTTCCAACACTCAACAGATAAATAATGATTTGAAACTTCTATTTAAAATCACCCGCTTGGACAAAAGAGACTCTACAAATGACAATAAATAGAGTCTACCTAAACTCCGATGGGTTAAACTCAACACTAATGGCTCTGCTAACACTAATGGCGCTGCAGCCTGTTGAGGCATCATTAAAGATGATAAAAAAAATTGGATTGAAGGATTTTCCAAGTACCTTAAATATTAACCTAACACAGCAACAGAACTTATGAAAATTTCCAAGGGACTAAAACTTTGCTAGCATGCACAATTACCAAGAGTCAATATCCACTCAGATTTGATGGAGGCGTTGTCACTCATTAACCACACCTACTCTAAGAGTTACCCTTTATCTGATATTATCAGGTAAATCAGAGAACTTGTTATGAGAGATTAGATGGTCACCTTTGACAATGTCTATAAAGAAACAAATAGATGCGCTGATCTCTTACCATACTGATTACCACATGAATAATTTAATATTATGATTTTTGATGTTTCACCACATGAATGTAGAAAAATCATGATTTTAGATATGACTAGATCTTAATCTCTTTGTACATTTTTGTCGTGGCCTTGTAATCCAAAAAAAAAACACATTTCAAAAGCCTCCTTGCTTGTACATGATGAGAGAGGAGAGAGGTAAAGTAAAAATTAAATAATGACCCTAATAACAATAATAATGATTGAATAATTATTAAAAATATTTTATAATTTTAGGAAAACTTAATCTATTAGTTCTTATAGTTTTATCAATTTTAAATTAAATCCTTGTAGTTTATTTTATTTAATTAAAATCTTATAGTTTGATTTAATAGATATATTAATCTCTATATGTTAAAACTCAAAACAAAATTACATTTTAAATTATAAAGACCTCATTCAAAATAAATTGTAGGAAACTAATTCAAAATTGAAACAAGCATAAAGACATGCAAATATATTTTGGAAAAATTAGTGAAAAGGACCTTGTTGGAAGGAAAATTAGTCCTAAAGACCAAATGCAATTCAAAGACTAAAGCTAATATTTTATTCATTAAATAATATGAACAAATGGTTGAAATACCCTTCTATTTAAACTAATAAAATTGAAAAACAGAACAAAGGCTACCTGTTCAATACATACACCCCAAGCCAAAAGCCTTGCACCCTAAGCCATATACCTTGCATCCCCATCTAGAAGCCTTGCACAATCATGAGATATTATATCTCTAATCTAGCCTTTACATGAATCGGTGGAGATAGTTAGACCTTGAAGAATAAGTGGGACAATCCTTACATAACATTCGAGAAAAATAAGCATAATTTATTAGGTTAATGAGGGTAGTTAGTGAATGGATGAGGTATATGGTTAGAGGAGTCTAATTGGTGTATTTAATTGTGATTTTAGCCTAATATGTAAGTCCAAAGTAAAGCCAGATTATTTGGGCATCAAAACTGGAAGAAAATTTGTGCCACATGTCGCGATGTGAGGATGATTTGTCACGGTGCAAATAGGCAATTAAGTGTAAACTAGGCCTCTCTATGCTATGCATCACGGTAGAAGGCTACATGTACTGTGGCGCACAACCAAAAATTTGAATAAACTGGTCTATGTTTACATGTAAAAACAAAAGAAGAGAAAAGGAGAAAATGAAGAACACAACTTAGCTCTACTAGGGCACACACATTGGGACCATTGAGAATATTTAAGAGCTTCCTAATACCCAAGGTAAATGTAATATGCTTCCTTCCTTCCCTCTACTTCCATTTTTTAGAAGAGTTAAGTTAGGGATTGAGTGTTAATAGTGATTTTTGATCTATATGAGTTAAGGGCCTAAACCCATTAGTTAAAATGGATATAATAAGAGTTATTTAGGGTATTCAATCTTGCATTAATGAGTTTGTGAGAAGTTGGTTGGGGGAGCCATTAATGCACGAAAATTAGTGTAAATGAGGTGGTTGGGAGTGTCGTGGCTCATTAATAATAATTTAATGACTTATTAGCAACAATATGGGTCGATGGAGCCTAATAAACCTATTGGGCGTAATTGGTGGTGAATTCAAGGTGTTGATAGAATGAAAATGTGGGGTTAATTGTTGAAAAAGTTGTTCATAAGGTGGTATTGACCGATACTCTTGTGGAATGATTGTAGTGGGACTTTTTTGGCACCATTTAAGCTTGAAAAAAGCTTTAGAAGTGGTTATTATAAAGGGTAAATCTTTGACCTCTCAAAAGTTTGAAGTCACCAAGGAAAACCAGTTTATATAGTTAAATATTAATTGTTTATTTATTGGGATGGTTGATTTAAAACATGATTTATACTTTAAACTCTTGATACAAATTTGGCATGTTTGAGGATGTGATATTGTTGAAAATAATATGTGTGTTCAACAACATGTGAATAATGATGATGATTGAGAATACATGAGTATGTTCTAAAAGGTATGTGGAGGATAGTGGAGAAAGAGAGACTTTTGTATATATGATGTGATAAGATAAATGGCATTAGTTGTCGCAAGTGCATAATATGTTTAACATGTGCATAACATGATCATTAGCAGGAGTTCACCTAGGGAGATGAGTAGTTTGGTAAATCCACATGGTATTGATAATGACTGTTAGAATTAAGAGTTGCCTTAGCACTGACTGTTGGAATTGAGAGATAGCCCTTATCCCATAGTTGATTTGGAACTGTCCTTCTCGTTCCATAAAGGACTTAAGTTTAACTAGTCTCTACAAGTTCATGAAGAGGTTAGATTAATCGTATTACACCCCATGGTAGTTAGTGTTAGGGAAAACCTTGTTACACAAGTGAGTGAATTAACCCTAGCCTGATAGCTCTTCACGAATAGAAGGCTGGGTTAATCCTTAAATGATCTAGTCACTTAATAGCCAACAATTTCATGTCAGAGGTAACAGGAGGATATAAGGCTAACATTTGCTCATGCATTTAAATCCGGTCATATGGTTGCTATTACTGTGATCCAACGTGCGTTCGGGGTGCATGGTTGGTATTATTGCGACCTCATATTGTGTATTGTCATTAAATATGGATACACGTACTTTAGGCCTAGTCACATGATTGTTAGTATTGTTAATCGTGGCTATGCTTATCATATGTGCTATATTTGTGTGTTTATTGCCCATTTATATATATTTTTAATTGTTATGCAATTGTATAGATTAGGTAAAACTTAATTACTGAGTAGTTGTATTCACCCCTCAATTTTAATATTTTTAGGGCTTAGCTCATCAAATCCAGAATGGGGAAAGCATACTGAGACTTAGGGTTTTGGTGTAAATCCTATTTGTATGCCTCCTCACCTTATTTTATGTGTATTAAGACTGTTAATTTACCAACTAAGTCATATGCTATTGTTTTTTAGCTACTTGCAATATTATTTTCTATAACTTGTGTATTTGGTGTAATGGATTTGCGAGTTTTAGTTGTAAACCTTGAATAAGGCAAAAATACTTGTGCAAGTAGTGTTATGTATATTTTGAATGGTTTGGATTGAAAATGAATGTTTTGTGCAAGCAATTTCTCCCCTTTGTGTTTATGAAAATTGAGGTTGAATGGTGAATTTGTGTTACTCAAGTATTTAGTTAAGTGTGGTGTGTTGTACAAGTCTTATAGAGCCCATTGAGTGTGATTGGATAGCCAGTGCAGGCTTTTGGTACTTGCGTGTGAGTCTGGACACTATTGTTATGAGTTTTTGCAAAAAAGGAGTGAAAATGGGTTTGAGTGTCTAACTTTTTGTACAAAATGAATTTGAGTGTACAACTTTTACTATTGGCTAGAGCTAAGAGAAAGCTTTGTATAAATATCGAAACTATCCCAATTGAACATTGAACGGAGATTTGAAATGTGTCAAAAGTTTATCCTTGTTTTGTCATGTGACAGCAAAAGTTTGTCGTCAAATTTTGTGTAATGCATCGCGGTGCATGGCGCCTCATGTTATGACGTATGGCACAGGGCTAACAAGCCGCAGTGCATGTGCCATTTTCTACATAAATCACAATTTTGAACCTTTAATCCTATTTGAATTTCAAGCTTTTACATTGCTTTAAAGCCCTGATTTGAGCACAATGAGAGTGGATGGGAGAGGTTTAAATGTTGTATTTCTTGGGATCCCATGGTAAATAGTTTAAATTTGCTTCTCCTAATCATAATTGTGAAAACTTGGTAATCCTTTGAGTTTAGTCCCTTAATTACCTCGATACTAGTTAATGATGATCATAGTGTGAGGTGATTACACCTTATACAACAATGGGACAATGATTATCTCTTTATTCTAATGGTTAGTAGTCTGGCTAGTTTATGATTCAAATCACAAGTCGCTAATACCACGTGAATTTACAACATCTACTTTTCTTCTTATAGGTGAACTCCTACCTCATATAATCATACTATGCATAAATATTCAATATGTAGCATGCACATTCATACTCACTAATAGCATGTAACTTTTATTGACATCAATCTCATCCATCATGCTTATCAATATTACGAACATAATTATATTCAACGCAAGTCTCAATTTACAATTTTCCTTTTTCATAGGCACCCTTATACACCTTAATTATAACAACAATCATATATAATATATATTTCTCACAAATGTCATTCACATTGATTTATCACATCTTATAAACTTGTTCATATTATCATAATTTGCATCAAATATAATTTTATAATATATCAAGGTTTTCAAATAAAACTTTTCATATATAATCAATTAATCAACCAAATGTACAAGCTAAATTTCTCCCGATTATTTCAAACTTTTGAGAAGTCAAATGTTACCCCTCAATCACAACTTGCTTTCTGAGCTAAATTCAAGCTCACCAGTGCTTTGTAAGATTAGTCCATAATTACATTAATATCCGTCACTAATAATCATCAAAATTGCCACTTTCAACATCTAATTTCATACTTTAATAACTAAATTTCTTAGCTATAAGTTCAATCTCACATCCAATGAATTCATTAACTTTCATTAATTTTATTTAGTTCTCAACAACTTAAATAATCACTAATATGTCATTTGACAACCCAAAATCATCATCAATGTTACAAATTACTTACTTTTAACTCTTAAATTTAAATATTTTAATCATCAAAAACTCTCAATTCTTGAGTTTAATCACTATATTAGGTTTATTTACTCTTATTAGCTCTAATTAATACTGACACAATCCTTAATCAACATCAATGGCAGCCACCTATCTCAACCACTATCATTTATGGCACTTAAGGGCATAATTTCATTCATAATTAAGAGCCCACTCTCACGGACACATAAAATCACTATATTTAGGCTTAGATAACTCAAACAACTTTCATTAATTTCATTTAAACTAATGGATTAGAACCCATAGCCTTAGGTTTAAAAATCATTATGTCTCAACCTCAAATCTTACTACCAAAATGTGTGGAGAGAAGAGAGGGAGATAAGGAAGGCATACCTAAGTGAAATCAAGCTTTAATCACCTCTAAAATGCCTAAAAGTTATTGCCGTAGCGAAGCAATTACTCTTTTTGTCGCCCTCCCTCTGTTTCTGGCAATCTCTCCTTATTTTAGGCCTTTTTTCATGTTTTTAAAAAGCTAATTTTGGGAATTATGCTGTAACTTAAATTTTTACGCTGCAGCATAATGCATTAAGCTAAAATCTAATTTTATTTCTCTATAATTTGAGCTTGGGTGACCCAGTTCAAAAGCTAAAGCCAAACCCAATAATCATCTCTAACTATTCTCAAACCCATTTATACTTAAATTTACATATTTACCCTTTCATTAGCTTAATTAATTAAGGGAATTTTTAAGATGTTACACTTTTCACTATGATATATAATGGTCAAATGATCTTTTAAACTCAGTTTTAAGATTAATATGGGATCTTATCTCTGCAGGACTTTCTTTCTTAGCCTTCTGAGATTTTATATAGCTAAAGTTAACCCTTTTCTTTCCATGACATTTTTTATGATAGGTAAAGGTGCAAATTTACTCTGAAACTTTCCTTCTAGGAGCATCTGGTATCTTAAACTTTTTTTAGAGTAATATTACTTTGGAACTTTCTAAGATGGTGCAATATTACCATGTTGTTAGAGTTGATTATTTGTTGACTATTTTGTTTGACTGGACTTGCCATATGACATTTTTAAAAAATTAAAAATCATAAAAGTGCAAATTTATCCCGAAACTTTTCTTCCAAGGGCGCCTGATATCCTTAACTTTTTGTTAGGAGCAATGTTACCCTGCTATTAGAGTTGACCATTTTGTTTGATTTCACTTGCCACGTGGTAGTCATGTGGCATTTTTTAAAAATTAAAAAAAATAAAAAGAGCTATGTTTCGTCTTCATTAGTTTCTTCGTCTTCTTCATCCATAACACTAAAAATGCAAAATAACTCGAAACACTAAGGTGGAAAATCAAACTTAGATTTTCAATATAAAAAAACAATCAAGAAAAACATTTAAACCCAAATTTTCAATATCAAAAAACAATCAAAGACAAGGGCCAGAGAGGAAGAAAATAAAGAACACAATTCAAGAACCCAACAATTCAAGAACAACATGAAATATCCAAAAAAACAAGAATACAAAATTTAAAACTCATATTGACCAACGTCAAGTAGGGAGAAGTAACAACTTAGTAGGCGACGGCTATGTGGCTTCTCATTTAGCTCTTGTCTTGCAAATGTCGAGGTGGAAGAGGGAGGAATGAAGACGAGAAGAATGGTCAAATATGAAGGAGGGAAAGTGATGTGCAATCGAGACACAATGAGGGAGGGGATGGCATTTTTTAATTTTTTTAAAAATGCTACTTGGCAAGTAAAGTCAAACAAAATGGTCAATTCTAACAATAAGGCAACATTGCTCCTAAAATAGTTGAGGATACCAGGCACTTTTGGAGAAAAATTTTCAAAGTAAATTTACACCTTTATCATTTTTTTTATTTTTTTAAAAGTGCCATGTGGCAAGTTCAGTTAGACAAAATGGTCAACTCTGATGGCAAGGTAATATTGCACAGTTTTAAAAAGTTTCAAGGCAATATTGCTCCAAAAAAAGTTGAGGATCCTAGGTGTTTTTGGAGGGAAAGTTCTAAGATAAATTTGCACATTTATCCCTTTTATGATTAATTAAATTAGTTGAAATTACTATAGTAGCTCTACCTTAAAATTAAATATGTATTAATTATGTGTTTAAGTATTGGAGGTTTTGTAATAAACCGATATGGTGGTTTAATAGATCCCCTCTTTTGTTGTTTATGGCTTGTTTATTGAGTTGTGTGTCTTTTTATGACAAAAATGGTGCAGCTAGCTTCTTGTTTCCATTTTCGGTTAAGGTTTGTAGTGGTTGTATTGTTTATTTATTTATTTATTTTTGCTTTTAGATTTAGGGTTTTGTGTGATTTGGATTCTGGCCTTTTCACTTCTGTAAACTCTTTGTTTTTTTGTTGATATAATACAATCTTGTTTAGGGCAAGAAAAAAACCACAGGCTTGTTACGCAAACCTTTTATAGCCCATTCATGGTTATTTTCACTATTTTGTGAATCAGTCTTTCTGAATATATACAAGATCTTCTCTGTATAACCTTTTGGTTGAATGAAATCCCCTTTCCTTTTAAAAGAGAAGGTGTGAGGAGTACATCTGAGCAAGCATGTAAACTGAAAATAAAGGGATCACTGTTACATGTATATATAATTAGTGAAGCAATGAAACAACATTAAAATTTATATCACTAGAACTTTAACTATATATATTTTTTTAATATATATACCTCAAAGTTATAATATTAATACACTTTTTAATTCCACTAATGAATAGTTTAATTCATTAAAGCATCACAGTTGCAGAAAGGTGGGAAAAAACTGGAAAATTTACACTAAACAACCATAGCTTTACAAATTCCATAACGAAGATGTCAAAAATTTTAATTATTTCAGAGTTCATAAAAAATTTAAATTCTTAAATATTTTCAGATATAGACTAATTTTATTCAACCTTTTTTGCGCAGTTGCACTGATTCATTTACCAAAAAAGAAAAATTTATACTAATAAATGAATGATTTTTTTTTTTTATTTTGCAAAATTACCACCACTACTCCACTCAGTAATGTTAAAATTTCGGAAAAAGAAAAAGGGACAAGTTATCACTTATCACCACTTCATTGTCCCCAATTTCTGATATCCCGCCGAGGAGCATATCTCATCATCCATTTTCAAATTTGAGTTCTTCTGTTCGCAATTTTACTTGCACAGTTACGCTGTCTCCCGAGTTTCAATCCCATCTCCCATTCTGAGTTTACAGGGCTGTAGTACCACGCACTGTTCAAAGCAAACCCTAGAAATCTTGCATTGAACTTTTCGGGACTTTCCAATTCGATCGCTAATGGCTTCCCCTGATTCCACCGCAACTCCTACCCCGTTATCAGCTGTAAACTCCTTTCTCCTGCTTTATCTTCTTCCCCTTTTACCATTTTTGCCAGGGATCAAGAGACTTGCAGCTTCTCGTTGTTCAGGAATCGAAAGTTTGTCTTTATTACGGATTTTTAATTTCTTCTTCTTCTTCTTCTTCTTCTTATTATTATTATTATTTTGTTTTCAGACGATGGAGAACACGGCTCCGATTTCATCCAAAATCGCGGTACGTTTCTCACTTTTGGTTTATCCGTCAAGTAGAGACTTCCATCTACACATTTTGTCAAGGTTTGGTGCTTCGAGATGGTAGAAAACAAAACATATGCAACTTTATTTTTTGTTGGTTCTATTTTAAGGTCATCTAGCTAGATGAGCCAAAATGATAGTTAAAAACCATTTAGCTTGATGCAATCTTGGACTCTTCGAATTGCTGTGCCCAATTACAGGAACTAAACCAGTCAAGAACGGAGCTTCTTAACAGAATTCAGAGCTTGAAACAGGTGAAATTTATCGGATCTTTTCAAAATCCGAAGTATTGTTATGATATTATGTCCAAAAGCTAACGATTTGAACCTGTTATATGCATTTTAATTGTTACCTTTCGTGGATTTGTTGTTTATTTTTTTTATGCCGATTCCTTCTTTTCCTGGTCACTAGGATTTGCATAATTGGAGGTCAAAGCTGGACACGCAAGTGAAGGTCTATCGTGATGTGAGTGATGGCAAATCTCTGCAAAACGCTGCATTATGCTGTATAGTTTTGTTTTAATATGTTGATAATTCACATTACTGCTTCCGTGTTGCATATTTTGCAGCCTATATAGACATATGACATATGGCATGTCTAAATCTGAAGTCTTGTGCTCGGACTCTTTCTTTCCGCCCCTCCGCCCTCCCCCCCCCCCCCCCCAAAAAAAAAAAAAAAAAACAAACAAACATCAATGGTGCTGATTTAGGAAATGATGAATAACATCTATAAATCGACATACGATATGTTCTTTTGCTGAAATTGTATGCACCGTGTTTATTCTGGGAGAATTGATTCAACGGGGCCTTTTCAATGGTGCAACTCTAGCATCTCAAAGAAAAGCTTTATGGGTGTAATATGAATACTAGATAGAATTTAATGAGATCTTGTGTCTGGAACTTTCAGGTTAAATTAATGGTGTTGTTCTACACTTTTTCTTTTCTAATATAATGGTGCCCATAGTTGATGAACAGCTTGCTCAGATAATGAAAGTTGAAGAGAAGCCAGCAAATGGGCATTTGACGCTCATGGTTAACTGCAATTGACAAAAAACCTGTAGTGTAATATTACTATCCTAATATATGAAGTTATGCATGTGATAACTGCGTTATGACTACCCTAGATTTAAAGATTTTCCATGGTCATCATTTACGAGCATCTCATTATGGTTTGGCTATTTCTGTTGTTGTCTATGTTATCAGCTTGCAAAATTTGCTCATCGTGAGAATTAAATCTAATGGAAGTAATAGGTTCAATCTATCTATTGTTTCTTCTATTTTTTTGTGTGGTATTGCAACACTCAACCATTCTCTTTGGGTCATGCAGGAGCTTTCTGAGCTCAAGAAGACACTCAATGTTGAAGTGGAGCAACTCCGAACAGTAAGTGTGATTTCATTCTTCTCATATGCTCTTCTTTAAATGAAATTTGTTTGAATTTTATTTGCAAAATCAAAACTAGGAATTTCAAGACCTGAGGACAACCCTTCAGCAACAACAAGAGGATGTTACCGCTAGTTTAAGAAACTTGGGGGTAACTCTCTGAATTTGGCAATGTGTTGTCTTTGAAATTTTCTCTTGGAATTGTATGGTTTACTTCCAGTATTGAGCTTGCCAAGCTTAGTAAAATGCTTATGCTGTTTTGCAGCTAAATGATGTTTCCGGAGATAGTGAGAAAGCAGAGTCAAAGGAGACAAAGACTGAAGAAATTGAGAAGGAAGATAAGGAGGTGTTGGCCAAGGAAGACACTGTTAAAATAACTGAAAACTAAATGGGCATTATCTGTATTTGCAATTAGTAATGCATACGCTAAGAGGACATGGATGAGCAACTGTGTCTTTGTATTCTTAGTTCTATGTTGTGCTTGTCAAGTTAGAATGAGTCCAGCAGATTTTTTGATGCGATCAATACTAAATTTTGCTGTTCTGCCTTCATTATGTGCAATTCGTATTTACTCGCAGTGCCTGATACCTTGTTTGGTATACTGGTCTGACTCCATTTATTTTCATGTGGAAATATAAAGCCAAACGTGTGTTCTTTACTTTAGTGGCAATTAAGTTTTACTCGCAGTCCTTCCAATTCTTTTCTCCTAACTTCGTCTCAGGCTTCTCTCATGCCAATTTTCTCTGCCTCTAGCTCTGGTACTTAGCTGTTGATGAACAAGGTCATGGCTGCAGAGAGCGAAATTTGGCATCACTGGGTTCAAGTTTCGAGAATGAACTTGATTTTGTAGTTTGTGAGGGCAGGAGATGGGTTGTACTCCTCCGGTTCAATATATAAGTCATTTTTTAAAAGTATAATTTAATCTACTTTATAAGTTATTTATTAATATAATTATTTTGTTTTAAATTAAAATCTTTAGATTACCTTTAGAAAGTAAGGGGGAGAGAGATACAGAAAAAATAATATTATATAATTAATTTATTTTTTATTTTTTACTTAAAGATTATGTTTAAAATTTTATTTATTTTATTTTTTATATTTTTATTATATTAATATTGATGTGTTTGATATAAATAGTTTATAAATAAAATCGGATGAAGTATTGAGTAATTTGAAATGGTAGGAAAGTTTAATCTGGAATTGACGTCGAACCAACCATGAGTTGTACGGATTGGGGTTGTGTCAGGCTGGAGATCAGATGGCATTAATAATAATACGGGAGGTTCAGGTACGTGTATGTACCGGTGGCTTAATGTGAGATCCCTCATCATTTAATGATTTGCATGATAATTAACGTTGCCTATGTCAGTTGGCGAAGTGAACTTCTGGTTGAAGAAACAAGTTGGTGTTGGAAAGCAGCAAGGGCTTGGTTTAGATGTACTTATGATTCAAATGTTAAAATTTCATGGGCCCCGTTTAATAAGATTTTTTTTTTTGAGTAATTTAATGCTCCATAATATAAGATGTTTTATTTTAAAAAGATAGATTCATTAATGAAATTTATTTCAAAATGATCTCTTATTGTTACATTCTTTACATATTTCTCTCTCTCTCTCTCTCTCTCATTAAATGAAGAATTTTTTTTTTGTAAAAAGTAAGATTTCAAATTATATTTCATTAATTTTATTGGTGTTCATGTAATTTTTTTTAAAAAAATATCTTATTAAATAGGACGTAAGGAGTAGTATTCAACAAAGATACATCAGTTAATGTTGATTCGCATGTATACCTCTCCTTGCTCAGTTGTGAAGCCCGAAGCAAAAGTCATGATTGATGGATACTTTAAATCGCTCTACCTACGCCACATGAAATGCAACCCGGGACTCCGATGCGTGCATTCTACATTTATACTCATGCACACAATTCAAATTTAGATTTAACATAAATAAAAGTTTACGTGGTCCGTTTTATTGTTCGATAAACGTGTTAAAAATCCCCCAATGCTTGCTTAACTGATTGGTGGAAGATTAGAAACGCTTTGTGAGAGCGTGTGTTTGGAAAGTGCATTTCTGTGGGAGGGAAGACAAGAACTGTGACGGCATGCACATTTATGTGATACCATGACTTTTTTGTAAAATCAAGAATGAGGGTTGAATTTAGAGGGTTAAATTTAAAAATTCTATTTAGATAAAGATTGAAGCTTGAAGAATTAGAGGTTTTTTTTTTTATGAAGCTAGACTTTTAGGCCCAACCTTATAGGCATTAATGTTATGCTTTGTGATATAGAAGTTTTTATATTTATCAAATTTAATAAGATTAATTTAAATTAAAAATTTTTATTTTTATTTTAAAATTTAATTAAGATTTTATATCTAGATTCGTATTTATTTAATTTTTTAAAAATAAAAAAAGCTTACAAGCTTAGCTTTAAATCTTTTTTAAAAAAATTAAATTTTAAAAATTGATCGTTTTTTGAAGAGCTTACTCAAGGCTTGAGCCCATAAAAGCCTGACTTGTCCATTTTTGCACTTCTAATCATAAGTGATTTTTACCTCTAAAACCAACAATATTTATATTCTTACCCCAAATCTCCGCCAGCTTTTCTTATTCACATAAACTTGGATAAAATAAACAGTTGATGTCAAGACAAGGAAACCAGCCAAACTGCAAGTTTCGGGGGTTAAAATTGATTATTTTCTGGTGCATGGGGGGATAGATTAGCTGGGAATAAGTTTACTGGAGAGTCGAGAGAAGACTAGTACTTTGCCTTGCCTTGCTTGGAGACAAGTAGGTGACATGAAGGGATTAATGAGATGTTCCTTCTTCCTTGTGGGTGCACCACAGCATTGGCGCTTTTCACCTTGTCCTCTCTCCTATTCCTTGGTTCCCTTATTTCCCTCGTCCTTTCCTTTTATTTGAATTTTCCTAGAAAATGATGGGGGCCAAATTTAGGGAGGCGGACTGGTCCTATTCAGTCAGTCAAACCCTAAAAAGATTGTTTTGATTCGTCCACTTTCATGCAAATAAAGGAAATTTTTGCAGGTGCGAGTGGCAAGATAACCTAGTCTCCGTCCAACTTAATATATTTCATAGGAGGACTTCCCATTTTTTATTTTTAATTCAGCAACAAGAATCTTATCTGGAGGAATAACAGCCAGGTTCTTATAGATAACAAATCACTCGCCATCAGAAGAAAACAAGAGCTTGGAACATCCATAATGGACAAAAAATCAGGGGCGGGATAAATGAAAAAGAATAACAAAACAATATAATAATGCTCAAGTGTCCTGGGCAATAAAGGGGAGGAGCATATGTATAGGAGAAATAATAGAGTAGAATAATGGTGAACTTGCAAAAAGATGGAAACGATGTGTTCTTCTGTCATTGTCTCATTATGCTTTGATGGCCATCCTGGCCTGCGCACTTTGCTCCCCTGCGGAGTACATATTACAGAGTACATTCTTGGCATTTTCCCTTCTTTTTTTAAGCCCTTCTTCCTCTGCCTCTCTATAATTTCAAGCTTCCACTTGCTCCGGTCCTCGCCATTCCTGCAACGTCGCTTACTTTCTCTTTCTCCAGTACAATGGATGCAAAATCTGCTGAAGCTGCCTCTCAGACTTTGAAGTATCAGGTAATTGCAACCCAAGAATCACCACCTGTTCTAAATTTAGCTCCTTTGTCTGCTCGAGTCTGAAACTCAGTTGTTCGTCCCTCTGTTTCTCAGACATGGTTCTTGAAAGTTCCAATCCACTGCGAAGGCTGCAGGAAGAAAGTCAAGAAAGTTCTGCAGAGAATTGATGGTACTAACACGCTAAGCTTAAACGGAAAACTCTTCTCCTCTTTTTGTCTGTTCTGGATACGCTTCAACAGGGAATTGACTTGAAAGTTCAACTCTTTCTTCAGTATTATACCTCTGCTTCGCTTCTTCCCTGTTTTTCCCCCATGCATGACTAGATTAGTAGATTTTCAAGCTCCTGACTTCTCCGAGTTAACCAAAATCCTTATTCGTAGTTTTCATTCACATGCAGTTTCTTTTTATTATGGTAACAATAACAGAGATTTCACTGAACCCGTTGCGTTTACAGGTGTTTTCACAACAACAATTGACCAACAGCAACAGAAAGTAATGGTCACCGGAAGTGTTGGCGTTGACCTCCTGATCGGGAAGCTGATCAAGGCGGGTAAACACGCTGAAATTTGGCCCGAAAGTGTGGCCGGAAAGGGAAAATCCTCAGGGAAAGCAAAGAAGAAAAACGAACAGAGAGAACCAGAAAACGTGGAAAACCATTCCACTGATAAATCCGAATTCAACCCCAACTCCGACAAAAGCAAGGGACTTGCAAGTGCAGCCAACTGTGAGAACAACAAAAGCAAAAGCAGCGACTCAAAAATTGGCGCCAACACAACGGTTACTCCTCCGGCCGGTAACCAGACTCCAGCGGACGGCCATAAAGGCGGAAGAAGCGGAGACGCTGCCAAGAAAAGTGGCGGAGGGGGCTCTGGCAAAAAGAAGAAAAAGAAAGCCGGTGGTGGTGTTAACAATGGCCCGAATTCAGTATCTGCACCAGCACATACTGAATCCCAGACTCTCGGGCAAACGAATCTCGGCCCGACACATCAGCAATCATACCCGCACCCTGAAAACTACTATCCTCCCATGGCTTATCTCGCGACTTATAGATCATATCCTATAAGAAGGATGGGTGGCCATTCTTCCTACTATGTTCCATCATCGCCCTACATGCAAGCAGGCCTAGACCATGAAATTTATCAGCTGCAATTAGCACCGACGGTTTCCTTTGAGGTTTTCAGCGATGAAAATGCCAATGGATGCTCCATTATGTGAATTGTGAAGGATTGGGAGGGGAGAGAAAATGGCCAGAGATAGTTTTGGAGTGCTGATTTTGTAACCTAGGGAAATAGAAGTCGTGGGACATTATTAAGGGTTGATTTTACACTTTCTTTAGGTTATTCTGGTTCTGGACCGGTGTACATGATCTAGTCTTCCCTATAACCGGATCTCTATCGACGTGTTTTAATATGGTAACTTTGACGTTCATATGATCTCAAGCGTCCCCGACAAAAACTATTCATTCATATTTCATGGCCTAGTTGTTTATTATATTCCACTCAAACTTAGCTTTGACTGCCCCGTAAAGAGATCTCATATTTCAGTCTCTGCAAGTGATAAAGTGTTCGGACACCATATTCAAATTAAAGAGCTTTTATTTAAAAGGAGAATGCTAGAAAATACTAGCTAATAAATTCAACAGATGAAGGCTGACATTTTACCTTAAAAAGGAAAAAGAATGAAGATTGACATTCGCTTATCCTTGATGATTCAAGAACTAATCTATAGCTGGTGAAAAGGGAAAAGGAAGAATGATACGTGGGACTGAGAGTGTAAGTTAGATGCTGGAAACTGATTCAGAGGCTTCCATTGTGTGAGTCAGAAGAAATTTTACACTTGCAAGCCTAATAACTCCATATGCTACCAAGCGAAAGATCTAATTATTCAAGGCTACAAGATTAGTTGAGCACACTTGAGAAAGAAAGAAATATGTACTGTATGATGCCAGTGGAGAAGGCTATATAATTAGAAATAATTACTGCTAAATAGCATTTATTGTAGGGAGCCAGGACTGCATTAATTTTTCAGCATCCAGTGACCCGTGAATGCTGGCTTGTTTGTTTGCGGGGTTTCGTGGACTTCTACACAACTCATGAATTTATAAATTGGTTCAACAACTGCATATCTGGTACTTTTCACTTTAAAATACTATTGTATACTTTATGGGCATATTATATTTTAACGATAACCAAGCTAGGTCCCTGTATTTAAAACAAGGTTTCAAAGATTGGATAGGTCATTGAAGCGGTTAAAATGCTAGTTTAGAAATTAATTGTTAAAATTATAATTCAATCCTAATCAAACTATTTATGAACAAAGCATTTTAGTGAAACAGTGAAGTTACTGATTTAATAGTTTATCAGTTCAATCAGTTGAGTTAACCCAGTTTTTAATAGTATGATTTAAAACTTTTCTAGCTCACACTTCGCTGCAATCAAAGGAAATTAAGAAAAAGTTTAAATTTTTGTCATGGAACAAATAACCCATCTGATATTAGTGTGGAAATGTTCATTTTCTGAGAAAAATAATCTGTTATTACGAGATTCTATCACAGAAGTAGAGCTTACTGATATGGATGAGAAACCAACATTAGCATTTTCCGTGGATGTAGAATGATGAGAAGGAGATGACTTGGGTGTTGGCATCTCATACCAAACGTACTTATCCTTTGTTTGACGTGCGGCACTGAGGTCAGAAGCAGATGTTGTCCTCCTCAGACCCAATTTGTTGAATCGAATAATCTGTGGACTGTGTGTGGGAGAATACAAGTGTTAGTAATTTGTCATTCTGAAAACAAAATGCGATATTGGCCATAAAGAGGGGGGAAAAACAAATGGTAGTGCTTGATTTAAGCAACTGACCCATGAGTCCATCTTTAGCGTAATTGCACGTATCACACTGTGGTCAGTGAAGGCCACTTTTTGTTAGCCAAATCTCGTTTTAAGGCCAACCATTTGGGCATCGCATTTACACCTCATAAGCCAAAACCTTGATGTATCTTCTTTTTCGTTTAACATATATAACCAATTCAAAGTGACGTGTCCTTACACTTTTGTTTATATTTACCAGTCAATAACATAATTCAATGAACGATTTAAGCTAACTGTTTAAATACTGATCTCCCATGAACCGACAGCTAAAGGTTGTGGAGGCAGTCATGTGAGTAATTTCGGTTGAGGACCAAAACTAGTGCGAACATCAATAGGAAAATAAAGTGCAAAAAGCATTAAAGCAACAATCATGGGTCCATTGTTGTAAAAAGATGGAGCAAGTGGTCTCGCATTTAAAAAAAAATAAAAAACGTACAAGAACTCTCAGTATGGTAGATGATACTTACTTGAGGCTGGGACTTCAAAAAAAAAAAAAAAAAGGAGTCTGCACATGAATAAAATCTCAGATTCATTAGTCTTTAGCTGAATTCTGAACACTAATGGATCCGTACAGTACGTGCTTAATACAATGAAGGATATCTTAGCGGTAACATTTTAGCATATAGTCACACCACACACAATGACCAGAAATACTCAAACGTTATTTGGTTTTCTTCGTCGCACATCATAGTGATCTTAGTTTTGTTTTTACGCACGAAGATTTTTCTGGACTTCCAATTTAAGACTACAATGAAAACTTGGCTCGAGGTACGGACAACTTAGATTCTATTCGTGTTTAGAGTGTTCAATAAACAGGATTAGAAAAAATGTGTCCATATCCTATTTTCTACTCACTTCCATATCTAGACATAAATCTTGATACTTACATATCTCTCAAGCATGCTTTAGGAAACACATACACACTTGTACATTTCTCGAATTTTCGAACAAAATGATGATACCCGCCAAACAAATTTTGCATATAAGTTATAACAAGGCATGATGATTTTGGGTTCTAATACTGGATATATATACACGTTTGAGACCCTGGGAAATACTACTTGAAAGCTCAGGTGCAAGGTTTTTTTTCCCCTCGTAAGGAGAATGGAAGAGTTGATATTCAAGAAAGCTTAGATGCAAGTTGATGCCTTTGAAGTCCGATGATTCATCCCAAGAATGATAACAATCACAGTTACGTCATCATGATACCTCCTCCTCCTCCCAGCCGGAACATTCATCAACTCTTCCATGCTGAAACCTGCACGAGCCTTGCTTAGCTAACTTCTAATTATTCATCAAACAAGACACATTCTATCTAGCTTACCGCTATTGAATGAAAAAAATTTAGGATAAGACTTCACAAAATGACCTGCAGAATTGGCTGCTCTTGCTAAAAGTTGCTCGATAAGAAACTTAGCTGGATCGCCAAATGGATTGCTTAAGATATAAGACTCAACAAGCTCCACGGCCTCATCATTGCTGAAGAAGTCAAATAAGCCATCACTTCCTACTATCACAAATTGATCAGAGTTTGAGATCTTGTGCACGTTCAGTGATGGTTGAGCGGAAATATATGGAGGGCTTCTAAGATCTCGGACTCGAAGGATACCCATCAGTGCATCATTCAGACATTTCTGCAAAGAAGATAACAAGAAAAATCAAATCTACTTTTGGCAGGACAGTGTTTTTTTCCGTTGTCAGACAAATTATGTGTTTAGGAATCAGCGAACCCAGTAAGAATGACTAACACTTCATTCAAGCATTCTAATTAGTAGTTTCATGTGCTAAATGTCCAAAACTTCGAATTTTTGCCAATTAAATATTCACCTTCTTCAAGTAACCTACTCCCAAAGCACGAGTGACTTTCAGTTTTCCTTTCACTTTTCCTGCTACAATGGCTTTAGGATCATCTGGGTGATCAGCCAGAAGTCGAGCTCTTTCAACTTCATTTTCAACCGTATGACTTTCTGTGAGCTGGATAGCTTGGAGTTTGCCACTTGTATTACTTGTTGCTAATACTGCTCTGCTGTCACCTAAATTAAGTGTGTACAAGTCATTCCCGTGAAGAAGCACTAGTAAAACACAAGATCCAACAGAAACTAAATCTGGCCGTTCCTCCATTTCCTGCTCAACCACGTACAAGAAATCATTCTCCACCTGACTAAGAGAGCGTTCAAGGCTATCAAGGACCCCATCTGAAAATGATTCATAAGGCGCTCCTACCTTAGAAGGTAGGCTATTCTTCGCCAAACAGCCAAGATAAGAACTGCTGTTTCCCCCAAGTTTTGATAGAGATTGCTCCTCATGAACAATGAGAATATCATCCAACTTATAGGATCTATTCAAACCCACATCATTATAAGCTTTAATGGAGTCTGGCTCAAAGTCCCAACACAGCATATTAAAGTTAGATACAATGGTGTCATACAGAATACCAGCCAGAAAGTCCGCAGCATCTCTACCATTAAAGCCATCATAAACTGCACAAAAGAGCCAGCCATTTTCTTCAGAACAAACTGCTTGGACTCTATCTTCACCAGCAGCTCCCCCTGCTACTTGGACTTCCATAGCATTAAGGAAACCTTCACTCCTGGAAGGAGCACTCATGGATTTTAATGTACAAGACTCATAATCAAGCATATCGCTTGGAGTGGATGGACTGCAACTTAAGTTTGACAAATTACTGTGGAGAGAAGATGATAATATATCCAACCTTGAAAGACTTGGAGAAGAGGGTACCTTACGGAATGAATTAGGTGAGTCCCAAGTTGGGAGTATTTCCTCCCCCATCACACCATTGCATATGTTTGTGTTGGCTAACGTAGCATTTGCACTCAAGGCTGCACCAGAAAAGCAAGAGAAACTGCTTGTTCTGTGAACTTCGGGTTGGATGTTATTGCCTTTGGCAACCTCAAAAGGGATACCTCTTTTGCTATTACATTGATAGCCAAAACTAATTTGAAGTTCTCCTTCAGGACTAAGCATGCTTGATCTCCTGTTTTAAGAAATCCATTGTCAAACATCATCAATACCACAGGCATATAAATGTGTAGAAGAACTTGATATGATTATGACATGTTATTGAACCATATTAGAAAAATACTTATAATCCATACGAAGACAGCCATTTTATCAGACAGAAAACTTTAATATATTATCTCCAGATTGAAAAATGGCCTGCTCAATATACCTTAGAGATGCCCACAAAGCAAAGTGTCCATTCAATAGAATTTTAAAGCTTGCATCTCATAATTGGTGCGAAACTATCATCTCAATAAAACAAAAATAGAGAAGTGGGAAAAAAACCATGCTCAGCAAAGCTCTTCCATACATCTAAATATTTATTAAGTACACTTTTGGACCAAGAGCCTTGATTCAAGTGACCTCTCCTCTGGACACAAGCGTCAGTGGTCCTAGATGGATCTAGCTCCGGTAACCTCATTACTCCCAAAGCTTTCTACATTCTTTATACAAAAAAAAAAAAAAGGAAAAGAAATGAAAAGAAAAGTAAAGCAATGCATCTCTTAAGTCATATTCTAAAAGCCAACTGTCACAGATTGTACAGGAGTTGGTGTGGATGCCATTGTCGCATTCCTCTCCAACAAAAGACACAGAAATGTTTTCCCATCAGGAACAAAACAATGAGATGTCAATAATGATAATTAAACCAGAATATAGACCTTAGGATTTTACAAAGACCACCCCCCAAAAACAAAAAAGAAAAGAAAAGAAAAGGAAGAAAGAAAAAGAAGGGAAAAAAAGAAAGAAAGTTGATTAAGTCATGATTGGATGGAGCCCAAAGATCTCTCCGTTGCACCAAGAAAATGGATAGACAGACACTGAATTCTATAAACACGGCGCTATGTCAATCAAACCTTAATGGATTGCTTTGCCACACTTTCTCCCTCTCAGAAGTCAGAACCAAAGCTTCAGAGAGAGTGATCCATATCATGAGACCGCACCTATTGCCAATTGAAGTAAGTGGACAATTGACAAAAACTAGAGCATAAGAAACTCAAGATAAAATTACCCGATGCTCGTTGTGTTAACAGTTCACATCGAATGATTCTTTCAACAAACCCAGAGCTTCTTATTAGAATGCCGTTAGCGTATTTTTACGAAAAAAAATCCATACACACTTTTTTCCTTTATGTCAATCCAAAAGACAACAATTTCGTAAAATAAACAAAAAAAAAAAGTGAAAGAATGAACGAGAAGCTCGCGCATAAATGTTACTAAAACAAAACATAAAGAAAAAAAAAAGGAAATCCCACTTACCAGTAGATCCTCAACAAGGCACAAGGAGCCAAGAGAGACGACGAAATCAGAATGCAGCAACATACATGCTGCGACGTGCATATATATAGAAGCAGAATGAAGCAGAGGGAATGAAAGTGTGACTTTGCATTGTAAAAGCAAATCAGAAAGCAGGAGAAGCTCTCAGAGGAAATTTTGATGTGGGAGCGTGAAAAGATGTGTGAGTGGAGAATCTGTATCGAAGTGGTACCCAAAAGCGGAGCTTTACGTGAGGGCATTGGATGGTAGAGAAGGGTCTCCGCTAAATTGAGAGGAATTTTTCCATGGCTCACATTTTGGTCTGTTTGTCGATTCCCTGTTTACCGGTAAAGTCCGGTCTTCTACGAGTTTCACTCCAACACGAACACTTGCACATTTCTTGTACTCTCATAAATCTAATATTGCAGCTTGTGGAAAATGACGTTGTCTTGTGAAATTACCGTGTTATCCTTCTATCGTTGCCCCTACGTTTGCTAAAGTAAAACCTAAAACCCATCCAAATGCTCTTCATCTCGTTAAGACCTATTTTGGATTTAGATGCGTTGTGAGATGACAAATTCTCTATATTTCATTCAGATCATGAGGGAGGGAGGATTGAGTAAGAATATGAACTTCTTTGATGATGATGTTTGTGGCAATTTTACTGGTAAATGTTAACGAGTAAACCATGTTAGGGAATTGGAATAGGATGCTCATGCTGTATTATTGTTCGGTATGTATAGATGCTGCGTATGAATTGAACGGTTCAACGTTTGGTTCCATTAATTATTTAACTTTTGTTCCCTAAAGTGTTTTGGCCAAACCAAAGCCAACCGTTCCAAAACAAAATTTTCCTAAAGCCTCCCCGGATTCCTAGCTTCTTATCACACTTTTTGCTCTGCAATAATATCTAAGGAATTGCTTCCTTGAACTTCAAAAAGAGTGAGTTGTGTTAAGTTTTGCTCACTTTGAAACAAAACCCCAGAAGTTGCTGGGTTGTGGGGCAAACTTGGTCTTGCACACTGATTTAAGAATATTGGAGTGGGTTTTCAATTTTGAGAGAAATTAGTCAAGGTGATTACCCTTATTCGGCCCCATGTCATATAAACAAAATAAAAATAGATGGCAACCAGGAAAACAAAGTAGTCTAAATTACGCATTCTACGCAAATTAGTGTGGACCACCAAGTTCTCTAGATCTGCATCCTCATATTTGTTGGGAAGTTGAATGCACCAAGACCTGCCACTACCATCCATTTAGTTTGGTGCGAGACCGCTCATTAATCTTTTAGCTGAAAATGGACATTATTCAAATTCATAATGATCACGACGTGTATGAACGAACTCATTTAACAATTGATACAGCCAGATATGTGGACTACAACATTTGTCAGCTAGTCACAAAAGTTAAACTTTAGCAGCACATTACACGTAATTACTAGTATTTTAGTAAAACATCATTCTGCAGTCCATAGCCATCTGCCAGGACGGAAAGTTGGCCTCACTTTATGGCTGATTCTGAGTGCATAGGATTAGGACTCGACATTGTAAAAGACTCTTGTTAATCCCTTCTTTGAGCGAATTTGAGAAACCTGTACAATTTACACCACATCAATCAAACAAAACAAAAGAAAAATACGCCACAAAATATGACCAATCAGAAGTTAAGTCTGTGCGGGACAAAGATCTCTCGTCCACTGCTTAACAAATAAAGCAAAATAACATTCAAAGTTAGAAAAAGAAAAAAAACATGAACAATAAAGGTCACAATAAGTCATGAATGACTGCAACGTGCGTGGAAAGTTTTGCTGTTATGGGGAACAATGTTCACCGTCCCTCTTCTAGATGCATCTGCCGATACAAAGACAATTAAGAGAAATAGCACCACATCCCCTCAACAGAATTAAATCACAGAGATTTAAGGGGGGGGGGATGTTGGAAACATCATCACTGAATCACAAATCACTTATGAATAACTAATTCATCAACGAAGGAGATAGGTTTCGGACCTTAATGCCCACGATATCTGAGAGATTAGAAACATGTGTACCACCACAGGGACAGCCAGGGTTATCTCCAATCCTCACAATGCGAGGTGTGCTTCCCTGCCAGAGTCGGTGCATTAATATCAAAACACAATTATATTAGTACCCGAAAAATTCAGAACAGAATGTGCCAGACGTAACAACCTTTTTTTATATTCGATCTCATGTAACATGTAGTCAAATATATAGTCATTTAATGGAGTTAGATAACGACTGCTGTGTGTCAACTAATGAAAGAACTCACTGCTTATATAATAGAAGCATACAACAAGCAAGGACAGTGCTTAGACGTCTGTTGTTGTCCAGGATCCAAAATTTGTTTGCCATCATCAAAATACATTATTAATATCTATTGCATACGAAGCAGTGCAAACAACATATTTAGTATAGAAGTATGTTGACTCATTTAAGGAAAAAGGGGGGCCTGTTCATAGGCACAAAAGCAGAAAGCCATCCTGTTAAATAGCTGGCAACTTTTATTTTTAGCTTAAAAAATAATTCACAAATTAATGGTCATAGCAAAACCTGCAACTTGTTTAGTGCAAGAGTAAGACACAATTATTTTCAATATGATTGTAATCATGTGTATATATATTGATAAACTAACCTTGTGAACATAATCAGGAAGGTAACCGCCACAAAGTTTAGCAGCTTCATCATATTGTAATATAGAAACATAAACCTAGGCAGTGAAATCAGCAGTTTGAGAACCAGATGAGTTTCATGTGTGTATTAAAAAGCAATTTATGAAAACAAGACTTACCTTTCCTCCCACGGAAATTAGGCCATTGGCTTCTAGCTCTAAATCTTTTTGCTTGTTCTGCATTTCATTTTGTGGAATTGTTCCTTTATATTCTACCCAAGGCCTGGTGACAATATAGCAGGAAGTGGCAAGTAATTTTTGCATCTTATGAACGAATTCTCAAGAAAGTAATTGTGTGAGGTACAACAGTAAGCAACTAGTTGTGGTTATTCCTCCTAATAATCACTCTAATGATTAGAATTTCCCCATAAAAGCAAAGATCTGACTGATGTATTATTGCTTGTCAGTTTGTATATTGGAATGCTGCAGCCAGCCAAGTGAAAGGCATAAAGCAAAAAGGAATCAGGCTGAATACAACCACTATTCACTTCCGACCCTTTTCAGGTTCCATATTTTATATGTAGATAGCTTTACAATTTACATGGAATACAAATACTAATCATAGACCCGAGAAAGAAGAAGAAACAAGTAAAGTATACACCCATCAGGAAAATGGTAAGCTTTGCCAGGCTGTAAATGACCCAATCCTACTCTGGGCAGACAAATATCAAGTACATGGCCAGCTGAATGCAACCTATATGAACAAATAAATGATTTGAGTATTAGAATGAACCAAGGAATGTTATAAATTGTCTTACAAGCAATTTAATAATCGTACATTCAGAAGATAAGAAGACATATCACATATGATGTATGCCAAATGCGACGACCCCCTCTTAAATTGAGACCATCATTTACTGGGATCGCACAACTTAACACAGATGGATTTCCACAAGCAGACTCGACCTCGATAAAATACCATTGTCATACTTTTTTTTCCCCTTAAATTGAAGTTCGATTATCTGGATGCAAAATGAATTCCAGCATTGCAAAGTTTAATACCTGGAATTCAGATTTCGCCTGCTATCGTCTACTAAAAGCGTGACCTCCCTTCCCGTCTCAAATTTGTTTTCAAATTCCTGGCCCAAATTCTCAAATAATCCATAGTGGAAAACCTACAAGAATGGGCAAACTAGTTAAACAACCTCAGATTATAAACCAAACTAGTAAGTTCACATTCGAACTTACAATTCCATCCTCTGATCGAACGTCTTGAACCACAAACTGGCAGTCTGAACCAGAAACGCGTATGAAGCCAGTGTCGGCTGGCTGGCCACCACCTTGCGGATAAAAGATTGTGCGATCTAATATCAAAGCATTTCTGCCGTCATCTCCCTTTCAACGAAACGAAAAAACAAAAAATCAGGGAAATTAACAATAATAATACCAGAAGTTAATTCTCAATACAGCATCAGGAAAAAAATAAATAAATTTTAATCTTTGATGCGTTTCCAACACAAAACAGAAGCAACATAAAACCTTAAAGTGGGAAAGGAGTGTGGCAGCAGATTGGAGCTTCCACATGTCATCGTAATAGTCGAGCTTGGTAGGACTCAAATCCATGGCCATTCGCCGAATGGGAAACGGACTACGGAATACCGGATCGGTCGGTATTCGGTAATATTATTAGTGCGAGGCGGCTGTCGACAAAGTATATTGCGATCTTCTGACTGAACCATGAACAATTGGTATTGCATAAATATACTTATAAAACGTGGAGCGAACCCCAGTTACTTCCTCTAAAACTTCATTGACTTTGACTTGGTCCAACCGCCAATCCACGAACTTACCGTGTAAAATGGCTATATATAGAGAAGGAAAGAAGCGGAAGAGAAGTTTACAGCCAACTCTTGGGGAAACCCTTTCTATAAAAATTTGAACCTTCTCTCCAGAGCACAAGAAAGTTGTAGAAAAGTAAAACCTGAAATCTTCCATCAATGGCGGACTTAAGAGCAAGGAACGCATGCAATAGAAAACAAACTCGCCGGTCATCCTCTACGATAAAAGTTCTTCCAAAAGAATTGTTAATGGAAGTTTTAGCGAGGGTTGCCTCTGGTTCGGTTTCTGACCTCTACAAGGCTAAAATATGCTGTAGGGAATTCCTACATGCCGCCGACGATGATTATGTATATGAACATGTATCTCTGGAGAAGTTTCCGGTAATTCCATGGTTTATTACAGAGAAAGAGTTTTCATTTTTGAAACGTTGCAAGGAAAGTGGAAATTCAGAGAGTTTATACAGAGAGGGAATGGTGGAATACTTCAGTTCTTTAAATTTAAAGTCAGGTCTTGAGAGTTTAAGGCTGGCTTCCCAAAAGGGCCATAAAGATGCAAAGTACGTATATGGTATGATTCTGATATGCTCCGATGATGAAGAGCAGAGAAAACAGGGACTTCAACTTTTACGTTTCTTGAGAATGTCCAAGTGCATTAGAAGGAGTAGGAACAGGGTAAAAAAGTTTATCTGGAGCATGTGGGTGAGAAATCGTGTGGTTCGGGATCGTAGACCCTTGTGCCATTTTCATAAATTTGATAACAGTCGGAGATTGCACAGTATTTCAAGAGGATGGCCTCCCTTTGAAGAAGACGATGGTATTGATATTTCGTGTGAATATTGTATAGGTGATTACGAACTAGGTTTGTTTTGTGACTTGCTACGTGTATAGTTCACTCAACCCCCGTAAGGAATGGTTGAAATTGTGTGGCTCGAAATAGCCAGCATCCAGCGTTGTTCCTTTTCTCTTTTTTCTTTTTTTTTTAACCCCAACATGTGCACCAAGAAAATCTCACCAGTGTGTATTATTTAAATTTGATTTAAACAATTTATATTTTATACTCTTTTTTTTACATAAAAAACTACTTTTAATTTTAAGTGCAATTAGAAATTATTTTTCATTTCGCATTTTACAAAATTTAAAATCAAATTATATCGAACGTTAAGATAAAATATGAACTGTCTTAGTTTAATCTAAGCAGTTGGAGAGAAGACAAAAGGACCTACGTACGTTATAGGCAACCAAATCTCATCACTTCCCAAATGATAAAACTAGAGATACGCACTCAGTTGTATTTTCTACGGTTGCCAATTGCGAACATTTTTTAGCTTCAAGACTCAGGACTCTCTCATGGACATTGCTACCGCGCCATTCAAGAGAGAGAACAACGATGTCCCCCAAATACAGGATGTAGTTTCAGCGTACAACGCTTTACGGTGAGGATTTTAATCACATGTTCTGATTAGTCAGGAGAGGCCACCAACTGTGGACGAACTAATTTTTGGTTTGAATATTGTGTAATATATGCCTCTTTATTAGAAGGGATCATATTCCGTTACGTTTTTTTCCAACTAAAATTGGCGGGCAGGAAGAATGCAGCGTACGACTTTTTTCAAACGAACTCATGGCATATTTAGCTGTGTAACTGCAAATGAAAACTATCAAAACTATGATTTTTTGTTTTTTTAGGATGATTTTCAACCTAAAACCAGATACGTTGGTACTTAAACAAGTACATTGAGACCCATTATCATGTGATTTCTATTATTAGTTCAATCATTATTCTAGCTGAATGCTATCCAAACCAGAACCATACAGATTGATAAACATATCGCTGCACCAACAGCAGGAGGAAGCCGACCAATTATCAAATCACTTCCAAATGCATCGCTATTAGCCAGACAGAAAGGACATTTAGTTTTAGCTGGTACCGCTGAGGAGAAAAATCAAGTATTGCAACATTCAAAGCTAAACTAACAAAAACTCAACAATAATTCTCAAACATCCCTTACAACAAAACTTAAAAGAAAACTTATCATCCACTTCTACTGTTGCTTGACTTCGACTTTCTTCTTCTGCCATAAACGATCTAATGCACTATCAGCATCTCCCTGGAAAAAAAAACGTTATCACAAGACTCGCCTTAGACATGCACCTTAAATGACATTATCAATATCACAGCATGCCATATAACCACATGTCCCATGGGCAACCCTCCACTACAATGACATCAAAAGCATCAAGGTTCCATTTGATACGCTAGAATTTAAAACATGGATTTAGAAATGGATATGCAATTGAAAAAAAAAATGTTAGTTTGGTATGCCTGAATTTGATTTCCAAATGGAATTGAATTTCACCAAAAGTGGTTGAATTGGATTCCATGAAGAGACCCATGAAAATGAGATGAGTTCCATAGAATTGTACCACTAATCAAATTTTAAGACAGATTTGCCCCTCCACCCCACTCAGATTTTCAACATTCCACCCCACCACCATTTTCAACACTCATCCCGCTCCGAATAGCAACAAGGCCATCAACACCATCCCTACCTAACAGCAACAATGCCATCAACTTTGGTCTTCAACGGCACTCATCTCACACTATTTTCAACTCCCTCCCTCCCTCTCGATTTTTTATCTTGTGGTCGACGCTTGTAGTCATTTGCTTTGATTTTGATCTACAACCCCTTGCTTTGGTCGATGCTTATAGTGATGCTCCGATTCTCTTTTTCTTTTGTTGGTCTTTATGAAATTTGGTTCTTGATGGATGATTGTTTGATTTTTTTTTGGCGTAAAATGTAGATCTGATTTTTGAAGCTTGAAAAATGAAGATGAACCCATGGCCTCAACCTAGAGAGGTTTGACAAGGTTGGGATTTGAAATTTTGGTTTGGTGATGGAAGTGGGTGTTGAAATGGGTTTGCCATTTTTTTTTTTAGTATGGGGTGTATTGGTTTGGAATGATTCCAATGGATTAGGTGATGAAGGTAGGTGGCAATTTCTGGAATGGGTCCGATGGTGGTTTTTAATGTTGAAGGTGAATGTTAATTTGAGTTTGCTTCTTCTTGTTTATTTTTTTTGGCTGGGAATTGGTGTAGCCGACAGTGGAGCGTGATATTACAACTCCGCTGCTCAACCGCCATCACTCATTCTATTCCCTTCACCAACATCAATGACCTCCTCCCTCACTGATTCCACTTCCACTGCTCCCTGTCGTTTTGTCTTCATCCCCCTCTCTTATCAATTTGTAGAGAGAAGTCATGGAGGGTGCTATGGGTTTTGTTCTTCACTGATTCACTTTGTCAGTTCTTCCTTTCGAAACCATTTGGTCGGCGATTGAAACCCCATCGCATCCAAGGAAGTCCTCAGTGATGGCGGCGACATCACCGTCGAAAATCAATTTCCAAAACCTCAACAATGTCATCATCTTCCTCTGTGCCATCCCTTGCTTCAGCAATGGCAGTGACATCGCCATGGGAAATCAGTTTCCAAAACCTCAACAATATCATCATCTTCCTTCGTGCCATCCCTTGTTTCCACCTGTTTGAATCAATCGTTAATGGAGGCTGCATCTGCAATTTCTGATGGATCACAATTTTTGCTTCATTTTTGCATAAATGTATTTGATTGATTTCTACTTGCACCTGGAATCTGCTAGAACTTTGCTTCGATTCGGATGATTTGGGTTGGGGTAAATTTTTTTAGGATGAGGGGCATTTTAGTCTTTTCATATTTTTAATATTAATATTTAATAACAGTAATTTTTGAATTCCATGAACATACCAAACATATTTTAAAATCCCATATCCACTTCCATATCCATATCCATTTCCACTTTTCATTTCCATCAAAAACATTTCCACCGTACCAAATGAGGCACAAGTTCATCGCACTGATACATAGATTAACACAATTTTTTTATTTCTGAATCCATGAAATGGAATTCTCAAGTGCAATCAATGATTTGCTACTTAAATTAGACAGATATCAGGTAATCATAACATACATCTCAACAGCCTAAATTTCCAAACCTTCACATAAATGCAACCAAATCACCAGAAATCCAACATCTGCTCAGTCATCAATCATTAAATTTTATGTTAATTTTATGAAAAAGCAAAAGAATGGGATAGATGGAGTTCAAATATCAAATAACACAAATCCAATTACTGGGAATCTTCAAATATCAAATAACATAAATCAAATATCAAAAGAATGTTATAGGACTATCGGAATCTTCAGTTGCCATAGGAAGATAAATCCACATAACCAAGTTGCCAACGTTCAGACAATTACTGGGGAAAACAATCATACGTTTACTACTAGGGCACAAATCTGTTTATATTCAACCTTTATACAATTCCTGAACATGTTACAAAACTGGTAAGATTAATTATACTGACCTGGGCACGAATGAAACCACATAGAGCAAATGTGGAGAAATGACCATTGTAGATACCATTCTCGTCCAAATGCCCAATGTTAATCTGCACGGAGGCATGGTCCTTTGCCGTTATCAATCTATTTGTTGCAGAGCTGAAGAAAATCACTAATTAGTTCAGATCCCGCATAGATCAAAGAATAAACCACAGCACAAATATCAACAACAAATTAAGAAAATGTAAAGACATACCATTTCCTTGGAATGTAAAGTTCAGTAATCTGTCCCTCCTCATTCTGCATCTTTCTTGTGAGCGTATAAAAGATTTTTTGTTAAGGATCTAGGAACCTGACTCAAAATAGAATACAACGAAAGTACAAATTGTTAAAGATTATGTCTTCTGCAAGTTAAAAACCATTATCAAATGAGTTTGAAGGTTAATGTCCTCATGAAAAATAGGCGCATTTATAAATTTGAAACAACAGTACTTGGTGTTTGAAAATTCCCAGTTAACCGCAGTATCTATAAACACTCAAGCATGGTGAATATTAAAAAAAAAATGAAACTTATCAGTCATGTTCTGCGTAAAATAGGGATTTTCATTTTCATTTTTACAAAACTCGATAACGTTTCGATAGACGCGAAATAAGCACCACCACGAAGCTACAAACAAATAAATAAATCATATGAAATGTTAGAAACACGGAAGAAAACACGAAGAACTTCAGGCATCCACGTCGCATAGGAATCCAGAACGAAAACAGTCTATTACGTCGGTAACGTTCAAACAGATCTAGGCTATATGGTATTACTGTGACATCATCAACGTTTCAAAATTTAGCTGAATATCTCGAAAAACCAGAATTTAAAACTCTAGAATAAAATAAAAAACCGAGAGTATTTGAGGTCCGATAAGTGTCGCGCATCGTTCCCCCCAACAACAGAAAACCCAGAACAAACCAAGGAGGAAAACACAGTGGAACACCGAAAATCGGTGAATAAATCAACAAGTAAGCAACCAAGATTGCAGAGAGTGGGCAAACGTACCAGAGGAGGCGGAGAAACAGGCGTGCAGCCGAGACAGCGAGTTTTGAAGCTGAAGGACTCTTATATGACGAAAACCTAGTTTCTTATTTTGGGCGGGTTGGGACTTCGGTTTTTAATGCGGCGCCCTCAAGTGCCCGAAACGTTGGCGATGAAGGCCTGCCCATAAGGACCCTCGTCTAACCCAACAATGGAGTGCCCATTTGAATTTTAATAAGATATAATAAATTATAAAAATAATTAATTAAATAATAAATTATAATTATAATTAATTATGTTATAACTTTTTAAATATTATTTTTAAAAATTAATTTTAATAAAAATAAAAATATTTGGATAATTTATTTAAAATTAATCTTAACTGTATAAATTATCATAAAAGATATTGCCTTTTAAAATTAAATTATTAATAAATTTGTATATAATATTATTAAAGTTATTACATTTTATTTAAGAAGTGAAATATATTATTTAAATTACATATCTAATTAATTAAAAAATTTAAATTATATTAATATTGAAATTTAAATTTAAATTTATGTAAATAAGTAACTCAATATATTTTAGTTAAAATAAATTTAATAAAAGAGAAAGATTTAATTCTCAAATACCAAATATCAATTTTACAACAACTAATGAAGATAATTGCATACAAATTGATCCCTAATGATATCATAAATATTAGTCATAGTTGATGAAGAAGATGTTATGGATGATGGTAAGGACAAATGTTCATCAATGTCATAGTCTTACTGATCCTCATGGTCTTCCTGATCTTCCCTTTCATGACACATAAAATCAAAATTAAAATTAGAGTATCTTCTAATGAAATTATGTATTACCATTGACACAACAACAATCTGAACTTGTATATCACAGTTGTGGCTAGTTATGTTGCATAAAATTGCAAACTTGTTCTTTCAAACTCTAAATATTCTTTCTATTGTACACTGTAAACTTGAATGAAAATAATTAAAGACTTTATTATTGTTTACAAATCCAATCCAATTTGTCTTCTAAAATCAAGGAGATGATAGCATTCCCATCTATACAGACCAAGATATTCATTTGGTGTTGGATAACTAATATCCACCAAATAATATTTACTTTGTAAAAAAGAGATTATTATCAATGTTTGTAAGTTGAATAGTCTAACATAAATAAATTGAATAAACAAGCATACCTAAAGGCGGATATGGAAAGTTTATTGATTGAGTTGTCAGAGCACGTTCAAAAATGCTAGTATCATGTGTAATGCCCTCCCACACAACTAAGACAAAAGTAAAGCACATGTCCCAGTCACACACAGCTTTACATTTTGCATAAGGATTCCTTTTCTTCCAATATATTTTGATTTTTTACTGGCAGTGACTACATAGAGAACATGTGTGCCATCAATTGCTCCAACTGCATTTTTGAAAAATAGCCAATATCACTTATCATTTTGTATCTTGTTTGATACACGATGAAAGGACTTATCCTGTGGTTTGATATATTTCATTGCAAGTTTCGAGTAAGCCATTAAAACTTCATGGAAATGTCTATGAATAGTCTATCTTGAATGTTGAAATCTTTTTTATACCATCTTGTTTCCCAACCCATGTCCAATTATATTTAAAAATATTACAGCCATTTCTTATACTCTCATTTGCCTAGTATCCTTCAGTCCATGCCATGTCAACTCACTGCATAATTGATGAAACACGTGTGGTTCCATTCTAAATACTTCATAGCAATGGACTGGGTGTCCTTTTAATATTTCATTCACCCACGAATGACCTATTTATTCACTATTTCTTCATGGTTCTTCATACAAATGTTTTGCTGCATACAATCCAATGAAAGCACTAACTTTTTGGGCTCTCTTTAACCTTTTGTTAGATGACTCGTCCATACATCTTGCTACTTGTAGCCAAACACATAAATAACATGTGCACTTTATTTTAATTATAAATATATCTGAATAATTTACCCATGCAAATATTAATAACTTTTCCACAATATTATAATACTTCAATAGCATATATAAAAAACACAGAAGTAGTTCAAAGGGCTGCATAAGTTAAATTTAACAATATAATACAAACGTGTCAGATACTCTTTAAGTAAGATAACAAGTTTTAAAACCCTCATAATCAACCATTCTCATAATACTGATATCTCAACCATTCCAATACACTTTCTTTATCATCCTTCGTGATCAAAAACATCACCCTGGCCTCTCGAGACACGAAGAGTGACATGTATTGTGAAACCTACTATCTGTCAATTGCAACTTCTTCCCATTATTTGACTATAGACATAACTTCAAGAATTGATGTTTCCTTGGCCTATTGAGATCCTTCCTTTATTGTTTGGGCTATCACACTCATTGCATCTGCCACTTGACTTATATTGGGTAACTTGTTTTTTTTTCTATTGTTATTGCTTTCACCCCTCTTCCTCTTACCACTACCTCCACTTAAGATTCTTTAAGAAGCATTCAAAACTACTCTATTGAATTCACTACTTACTTCAGTAATTTTTAAAATCTCATAACTATCTCCTGAACCTTCTTTCAAATCAATGCCCTCATTTACCATACTTGGGTGATATACATCTTCATCCTCACCTTCATTCCTATTGTAAACATTAGTCAAAACTCCACTTGAAGGTGTCCATGCTCTAGGTCCATTGGTGGTGGTACCTTGGAATTCTCAGTTAATTAATTGGCAAAATGTAATTCTTTATTTTTTATTGCTTCGTATAATGGATTTTCTTGCACATAAATTACTCATAATATTACAGGATACATAAATAAACAGAATAAATATATAGCCCCACATAATAGCATCACACTAATATCTTCTTCTTCCACCAATCATTTGAAGCATCCACCATATTGTTTGCGTAATCCCGTCCTAATCCTGTCTCATTTGAAACCAAGTTATCCCAAAGCACCCACTCTTTTCTCATATTATCCCACTTGTTTTTGACTTGTTTGCCATACTTCTTTCCAATCCTCTCATTGAAGCTATAAATAATATTTAGCCATCCTACTTTGGTGAAACTACCACAATTTCTTTGTGATTTTCGAGCCTATTCTAAACATATGTCAATAAATATTTTAATATTTTTCCGGTCCCATGAAGCTTTAGACTCATCGTTATTCATCTTATGCTATATAAAAATTAATTGTATGAGAATATAAAAATCAATTGTAGCTTTATATTTGAACTTCAATATATTGATGACCAAGCAGCAGTACAACTCAAAAACCTAAGGGCCAAAGAAATATTGGGGGAGAATCACTTGATTCTCCAGAAACTGAAAACAAAAAGTGAAAGCGAGAAAAAATTCTTGCTTAATAATAATTCCACGTTACTCGGGTAAAGCTCGGATCTGGAGCTAGCCTTGGGTACAAGCTGTTGACTTCAAAACAAAAAGTGAAAGCGAGAAAAAATTCTTGCTTAATAATAATTCCACGTTACTCGGGAAATGCTCGGATCTGGAGCTAGCCTTGGGTACAAGCTGTTGACTTCAAAACAAAATCGAGAGATAGAGATAATTAAAAATCGCTTGAATTTAGATAAATATAAAAATCACAACCATCAAATAGATAAAATAATCCTAAACCAGTGTTACTCTACTGTTTGTGGTCCACATGATTGATTGGCTTTTTTTTTAAATTCTATTTACCGTGGATAAAGATCATATTTTAAATTGCAACATACAAATAATTATAATTATACTTTCTTGAGGGTGGAAAAAAGGACAGTACTAAATTTTACCAACCAAAGGCAAGTAAAAGATAATAAAAAACGCCAAAGAAGGGATGTGTAACAACAGTATATATATTACACACACTGTCAGGAACATTCCGTGCTCATTTCCTTTGGGCTTGATCTGAATCCGTGGGCCATTGCGCATTTGAGCTCCACCGACTATCCCTCTGTGGGAATAAATAAACCATAATTTTCACCATATTTACGATCTTGATCACCCCATCCCGCGTCCACCTGAGTGACCTGACCACCTTCATTTCATTGCATTTCAATTTCATTTGGACCCAAGACCCTGCCAAATAATCGCAATCCCTTCTCCCCCTATTTTTTCCTCCTCGTTGAGCTGGAACAAGAGGGTTTGTGTCGGCGGTTCATCTCGGCCGAGTCGACTCAATAATGCTGGAACGGTGTCTTGGACATCGCCGACTCCGTCAGATCCAGAGGGCGTGCCGCCACGGCACCGTCACCTTCCTCTGCCTCTTCCTCACCGTCGTCGTTCTGCGTGGCACCATTGGCGCCGGCAAGTTTGGCACCCCCGAGCAAGACTTCAACGAGATCCGTGACCACTTGTACTCGCGTGGCCGGCGCGTTGAGCCGCATCGCGTCCTCGAAGAAGCTCAACCCGACAACTCCGCCTCTTCGCAATCCAACAACTACGCGACCTTCGATATATCGAAGATTCTGGTCGACGAGGGAGGCGATGACGAGAAGCGTGATCCAAATACACCTTACAGTCTCGGCCCCAAGATTTCAGATTGGGACGAACAGCGTGCCGAGTGGTTGAGAAACAACCCAGATTACCCGAATTTTATCGGACCTAATAAGCCCAGGGTGCTTCTTGTTACTGGGTCTTCACCCAAGCCGTGCGAGAATCCGGTGGGGGATCATTACCTGTTGAAGTCAATTAAGAACAAGATTGATTACTGTAGGCTACATGGGATTGAAATTTTCTACAATATGGCTCTTCTCGATGCTGAAATGGCTGGATTCTGGGCCAAGCTCCCATTGATTCGGAAATTGTTGCTGTCTCATCCGGAGATTGAGTTTCTATGGTGGATGGACAGTGACGCAATGTTCACTGATATGGCGTTCGAGGTACCGTGGGAACGCTACAAGGATCACAATTTTGTGATGCACGGCTGGAATGAAATGGTGTACGATGAGAAGAATTGGATCGGTCTGAACACTGGGAGTTTCCTCCTGAGGAATTGTCAATGGTCGTTGGACATTCTTGATACCTGGGCGCCCATGGGTCCTAAAGGGAAAATCAGAGACGAAGCTGGGAAAATCCTCACCAGGGAGCTGAAAAATCGGCCTGTATTTGAAGCTGATGACCAATCTGCTATGGTTTATATATTAGCGAAGCAGAGGGACAAATGGGGTGACAAGGTTTACCTTGAGAATGCTTATTATTTGCACGGATATTGGGGTATTTTGGTTGATCGGTATGAAGAAATGATTGAAAATTACCATCCAGGTCTTGGTGATCATCGGTGGCCTCTTGTGACTCACTTTGTGGGTTGCAAGCCCTGTGGAAAATTTGGGGATTACCCCGTTGAGAGGTGCTTGAGACAGATGGACCGAGCCTACAATTTTGGAGACAACCAGATTTTGCAAATGTATGGCTTCACCCACAAATCACTTGGTAGTCGCAGAGTAAAGAGAGTGAGAAATGAGACCAGCAACCCACTCGATGTGAAGGATGAGCTTGGATTGCTGCATCCATCTTTCAAAGCTATCAAGTTGGCCACTTCTTGACGGTTTCCAGAGAGATGGTGATAAGCGTCATGAACAAGTATTGCTTCCCACCATCTGTCTGCTGCTATACTCTGTTTAATTTAGTACAATTCAATGTGTAATGTGTTGCTATTGATCACTTACGATAGTGTTGAAAATTGTATTTTCTATTTATTTATTTTCACCGATCATTGTTTTAGTATTTTGAGTGATATTGATTTTTGAAAAAAAAAAAAAATCTTCATCTGTGTCTATCCTGTATTCAATAGCCATCTTTATGCCGTCGGGTAGTCTGCTGTATAATTGGAAGGAATAATTGCACCATGGCCACTTTTATATCTGTAAGTTCCTTTATTTGTTGATTGCCGTTTGTATTTTGCTCATTCTTTATAGAAGTGTGATGAAGACCCCAACAGTGTGAGTTATTCTGGTTCAAAACTATGCCCTTGTGAGGTTGCTCCATGTTTGAACGATTGGGCTCTTTTCCCTCGAGTAATGATGTTTGAACCATTAGGCAACGCCATGTGTGTATATATGGAGACGATACAGACACGTGGAAACTGGGTTGGAGAGTGTCGTATTTATCTAGATTTTATTGATCCTGGAATCCAGCCAGTGCTGTTATATATAGTCTGGGAAAATCATGTAGTGATATTGACCAGATTTAAATTTGCCGGGCAGAATTACGTTTAAGTAAATGGGATTAGAGAAGCTTGTGAAGGGAGGCATTGAATCTGAATCTGTGTCCACTTTCGTTACCTTTTGGCAGATAGTGCACGCAAAGGGATGGTATCATGCAATCTTCAGAAGTTCAGATAAGTCAGTATAATAGTTGCGCCAGTGTAAACTGAAAGAACACGGAGCAACATGTATCGCTAATCGAATAGCTGGCCTACAACTTCATTATCTGGTTTAGTCGTTTGTTGCACAAATTAAATGGAACACCATTTGTAGTTAGTATTCTTCTGGGTTGAGCCGTGGACAGAGCATGCTTTGGGTAATACCTGAACATAACCACATGGCGAGGCTGTCTGATAGTTTTCATTTGTCAATTCAAATCCACTTGAGCTGCTGTTATGCCGCAGCAACTCACATGGGCATTTCCTCTCCATGTCTACTAATAAAGATATTAAATTTGACCGGGGCATTTATAATGTACATTTTTTGTCTTAACAACTATAAAGAATGCTTGCTACTACGAAGAGTAAATCCGGTCTATCTCGTCTCAGATTTTCGAAGGCCAGTCCTAGTCTTTATTCTCCCCCACGTAGCCTTTACACACAGTTCTGTTGTAATTAGGACGAGAATCTTGTGAGCATGACAAGAAAACGTGCTAGGGCAAATAAGAATTACTCTAATTGTATTTCTGAAAAATAAAGACGATAGTTTAGTTACAACAAAACAACCCATGTATAGTGCTTTTCCTTTTTCCTTTATTTTTTGGGTATCTAACTAGAGCGCTTTATCAATTTCATCAAAAAAATCCTTTATTTTGTTTTACTGCAAAAACTGAACTTTTTATCTAACAATTTTTTTAAAAAAAAACAATATGCTTGTTTTTATCTTCTTTCCCTCAACTTATGAGTGGGAAAATAACTTAGGATAGTCTTCAAAAATTGGCACTGGGGTTTTGTCCTTGTGTGAAATGTACATTGAACAATTTTATGAACTAAAATTTCAATGAAAGATCAAAGTATCTTTTTTTTTTCCTGCTTAGGAAATCAAACTGCTTTGGTTACTTATTTCCGTTGATTTGCTAATGCAGATAAGTGCCCCTGCGCACGCGCGGAGGGAGCGAGGAGCCTCAAAACTTAAGTTTATGGATACTTCAAATTGTATGTGACATTGTTGAACTCACAAAGATATAAGAAGGACTGAACCTTTACTGGAATGTTAAGTCCACCAAAGACAAAGTAAATGTCTACTTAAATTCTATGGAGGTTCTATCTGTCATTGATTGTAACCCCTCTTATAATCACCCTCTCTTAGCTATTATAAAAAATATAAGGAATCTCACCATACGAGACCGGGATATCACTTTTAATCATGTTCATAGAAAAGGTAATAGATGTGCTAATCTTCTAGCCCATAGGATTCTTAGAAAATATTTTGATATTATCTTATTTGACAGACCGCCTACTGATTGGAAGAGCCTTATGGCTTTTGACTTGACGTGATCTTAGTCTTTTTACATAATTTTTACCATGGCCTTGTATTAAAAAAAAAAATTGTGTGTGACACATAAGTCCTTGCCACTGCTAAATTGGGCATGGAAAGCGAACGCTTAAAAATAAGGGAAAACAAATTAGTAAAAAATAAAAAGATATTATATCTTAATTCAAAAACTAATCATCAAATTTATGAGTTATTTCACTTTATTATATATTAGTTATTAATCAAAATTATATCTAATGTAGAACTTTTTATATTGACTCAAACGTAATAGGGAATAGCTTCCCAAAAAGAAGCAAGAGCAATAAAAATACATTACAACTTAAACTAAAAATCTCAAGGCTCATGAATCTTATTACTTTATTTGACTTCCTACTCAAATCAGGTTCAATGGGCAATTTAGTAACATAAACAAATTTCATTTTAACAATAAAGTTCTTATGCAGAATTTGAAATTTTAAGACACAAATTATGGGTCATCGAGTCAGTTACATTTTGGTACTCAAACATGTATATGACATGGGCTTTTTTAAGTTTGAGTGAAACATGACACTTGTTAGGATTAAGGAATGATTGTTCAAAAATAAAGGGATAGAATAAATGGACAAAGACTCGAGGAAAGACACATCTTAAAGAAACTCACCGCAACTTTAAAATTAGTCGTTGCAAGATTCGGGTTTGAGGTCCTGTACTTTCTTTGATGGCTCATGTATGCAGTAAAGTCTTTCATTCGAGCCTATTGGGCATCTTATGGGCCAATATATAGTTGTTTGGGCTGCCTTAACGTGTCCCATTTAATGACTTGGGTCATGGATGTCACGACTCTATTGGCATAGAATCTTTATTTTTTTTACACATAAGCTTTATTACGATGTGATTCGGGTGTGTTCGTGTCCTCTGCAAGATAGCTAGAGCCAACTAGGTTTTCGTTAAATAGGCATGATAGTCTTCAATTGCATAAAAGTAGTGTAGAGAACTAGCCAGAATTGTGCCTGCCATCGAATTCAGTGATGAGTGGAGAGATTCCTTTATCACTACATAAATGGAAGCTCAATCATAAAATTCAAATACAAGAAATTTAGCAACAACATAGTTATGGATGTTGAAACTTAAAACAAGCTTCCCGCGGTGTAGAGATGTGATAAATACAAGGATAAATTAGCTTATTGTCCAAAAATTTAGTATTGTGGCTAGTTTACATTAATGGACTAAAAATTTATTATTGATATACAAAAAATTTATTATTAAAATTTTAAAAATTTATAAGAGATTTATTATTAGCATACAACGACATATCATTAATAAATATAATTAACTGATTTTAATGTAAAATATAATAAATATTAATTTGTTTACTTGATTTAATTTTATAACATGAACCATATTTGTAAAAGTTCTTAAATTCAGTATGCCATTTAAAAGTGTGAAAAGATACCACATCTTAAAGACAATCACACCAATTTAAATTAAAAATAATTGTTTAGAAGGCTTGGGTTTGAGAGCCATAATTCGTCACTAAAATTATGATGAGTCAGGTCGCAATGCTGCGAATTTCCTAGCCCATTTATAGCGGGTAAAGAAATTCTCAACCCGAATTAAAAGTGCCTTTAGGCCAGCAACTACAAGTAAAGTAGATACAGCACTATCCTGTATCCTCTAAGGATTAACTGTTTTGAACACTGATAGAGCGTGAATGGCTGGCAATTTTGATTGGCAGAAGTTCTGCCACGCCTCCAGCTTCTGATCCTCGTCTTTTGTAAGTGCCCCGTACATAGAAGTTGCTATTCTTCTTGCAGCTTCTCTCGCCTCGGGCAGTCTATCATTCAGCAAATCAGCCGCCACTTTAATCATCTCTGCTAACCCAAACTCCTTCATTTCTTCGAGCCCCTGATGTCATGTCGTTTACTTTGAACATTATTCACTGCACTGTGTAATAATAACCCCAGAAGATAACGACGAGCATAGTTTGTTCAATTGTGCAGCAATCTTACCATCTTGGAGACGCTGTTGGAGAGTGATACGGCGGCCTTAGCCCTGACTCGGAGGTTGCCATGGTTGACATATGCCCGCAGTTTCTCAAGCAGAGGAAAAGGGGCTATTGAAGCCACCATTGAGGTAAGAGCCTTATCTGCTTCTTCACACACAAACCGTTTGTCCTGAGATGCTTTTAGCAGCAGCTGCAGCAGCTGTTAAGAGTCAACTCTTCAGTTAATCCCATTTCATCCATTAACAACATCAACCAACGAAAGTAAGATAATGATAGGAAAGTGAATCACACCAGGCTATCAAATGCATCAGAGGTGGAGGGATCCAACAATTTATCACCGAAGGATTTGAAAATATCAGAAGCGGCCATGATAGAGGTTTTGCATAGAGCACTTCGAGGATTTTTCATTGTCTTCGCCACCACCGATGCAAGTTTCCCCCTGTTTTTACAATTTCACATCATATATTTCAAGAAACCCAAGTATATATACCACCCACGCTAAAATGGACAACGTGCGCAACAAAAAATTGTGAACAAGTTACCCATATCTGAACAGTTTACTTACAATTCCGGGAGCAGAAGAGATGAGTGGTACAATGCGAAGCGCCTGACATCGTTCAAAGCCTCGCAGACATTGAGCCAATTTTTCGAATCCAAATCTTCGATTAAACCCTAGATTTTCAAAGAATTCGAGAGTCAGTGCTATTGATCACAGAATTAGCGGCAATATAAAAAAACGATGTGGTTTTTTTCTGTGGCCACTCAAATCTAGAACTTACTTGAATCCTTGCTTCAGGGTCGAATATAGGTTTAAGATCCTTTGAGGAGATATAATCAATGGCAGCATCCCCGGATGGCTGGATCGGAGTCTGATTTTCGTCATTCAGAGGACGTTCAGATTGTTTGGTGGCCGGCTGAACAACTTTCGATTGCTTCCTAGGCCCCTTTGTTGTCGTCGGAAGAGCGTTATCAATTGGTCTGAGTGGCATGGTAATAGACGAAGAAGACTGAAGTAGAAATACCAACAGAGTAAAAGCAGTGGTGGCACAGTATAAAACTCGGGGGGCTGGGTTGAGTCTGATGAGGAATCAAATAGCATTCGCCTTCGACGTATAAAGCTCACTTCAAAATTTGAAAATGGGAAAGAGACGTTGATGCTTTTGCGTAACGGTAACATTTCAAAAGCTGGAACTGGAACCCGGAAGGATGAGATGCGCTTGGATTTTCTGAGGGAATAATAGATAAATCTCTTTGAAATTGAAATAATAATTTGATTTTACAGAATGTCATAATCTTTTTTAAATTTGAAGAGACCTGATGTCATTGAAGTTTTTATGAAATAAAAAAAAATTCTTAATGTAAAAAAAGTATAACAAATTTTTTTTTTAAAATTTATAAATCTAATTCAACTTTTTTTTCATTTTTTTTAATTAGTAAAGTGTGATAAAGTTTTTTTTTGTTTACAACTTTAAATTGATTATATAATTCACATTTTTGATTTAATAAATGATTAAAGTAATTTAAGTATTAATAACTTTCTGTCACTATTTTTTTCAATTAACAAAGTGTAACAAAAAATTTTTATTTATAACTTTAATTTTAAAATTTATAAATCTAATTCAATAATTGATTGAAGTGGTTTAAATATTTATAGCCTTTTTTTATAACTTTTTTTCACTTTTTTATATTAAGAAGTATTTTTTTTATTTTCATCAAAAACTTTAATAACAATCGTGTTCTTTTAAACTCAAAATGTATTATTACATTTTATAGGATGGAATTATCATTTATTTATTTTAAAATAATTTATTTATCATTCTTCCATTTTTTTTCATCTCTCGTCCTGGCAGGCCGGGCTACCATTGAGCTCTATCCTTTTTCAGCCGAAATTGTCCGCATGGGTTTTGATAATTGAATATTAGAAATATAAGACTATTTTCTTCAAAAATGCATGGTTTAATTGTTGTATTGAAATTATAAAAATACATGATTTACTACTTGTTAGTTTCTACAGAATTGGCCGATTAAATAAAACAAATCAAAATAATTGTATGTTTTTCATGCTCAAGCACTCAATAGATACACTAATTTTTTTAATCGATAAAGTTGTATATTTTTAAAAATTGTTATAGTAATTAATTAAATGTATTTTGCTTTCAAGTGGCTGATATTAAATTAATTTTCCTTTATAATTGCATAGAATACTGATGCTAATTGCTATGGGCTACTATGGTAATGAAATAATTAACATTTCGTCTTTGGTGGTTAATCACTTTTCTCGTTTTCCAGTTGCCGGCAATATTAGTTTTTTGGGTGCGAATAAATTTTAATCGAGAAGGTCTCTGTAATTTTACTCCAAGCTCAACAAATTTTCAAATTAAAAACAATAGAAGTGTTTGGAAAATTGGTATGTTACTATAAATTATAAAATGATGAAAATGTTAAGATGTCTTCAAAAGACAAATAAGGTCTATTTTTTCCTGACCGTGAACTAAGGTCTAGTTTGATATCAAAAGGTAGAATATTGAAAAGTTAACTAACTATTTGCAAGAATAAAATTGTGAACATAATATAATTAAAAGAATCATATATTTACAATATTTTAGTAATAACAAGCTAGAAAATCCCTGGTAAAGAAAAGGCTAGAAAATTTACAGGCCAATGTTTCTCGGAAGAATGACAATTGAAGACCCTGAAAATTAATGTAAAATAATGAATGTCAGGCCCATGTTTCTTTTCTTCCAGAGATCCACGAATCACGGCTGAACGCACCGTTTCAGTGTCGATGGTTTTGGGGCTTCAGTGGTGCACTTTGTTGGTGACGAACAACAAACGGAAGCAAAGTGTGCGTGTGAGGATGTGTTTTTCTTTTCTTACTTGAACCCAGAAGTAGGAAGACGTTGATCATGATGATGTCTTTGATCTGTTGCATTCTCTGACACTCTGGCTCAGGAATTCCCTCCCCCATTCATTTCATGAGCATGGACCCTCAATTCCCTAAACCCCGATCCTATGCACCACCGATAGAGATGACGATTCCCTCCTCCCAGCTTTCCGACAACGATCGGAGCAGCTCCGAACTACGAGCTCTTGATTGCAACCTCACTTCGCTCTGCGATCATATCCAAATGGAAGGCTTCAATTCCTGCTCATTCTCCGACGTCGTGCTCCATGCGATGGGTTCCACTTATCACCTCCATCGCCTTATCCTTTCTCGGAGCTCTTACTTCAGGTAACAATAATGTAAATTACCACTGAAATTTCCGTTTTTTTAACGACCTCTTCTCAATTTCCTTCATTTGAGGTGTTCTCCCCCCCCCCCTCTCGTTATTTTTAATTTAACTTTCTATGCTTATTGAGTCAACTCCTTTTACTTGTTTATATTTGCCAATGATCACTGTTACTGAATTGGTTAATGCTATAACTATTTTTGTTCTATCTGCATCACCATAGCACTGTGATACTTGCACTGATAATGATGAGTAAACTGTTATGACATGATGGGCCATGATACTGATAAGTTGATCATAACTATTGCAAAATGGCAAAAATTTTCGAAAATCCAGAGGATAAGGCGGTTATAGAATCTATAAATAGCACTGAAATAGCACCATGAAGCGTGAATTTTTTTTAACCCTTTGCATATGTTTGCCTTGAATGAATTTTAAGATGGGTATGAGAATATTTGAATGTTGCTTCTCTTCTGGCATATGAACATATTTCTATGCCTAATCTCTTTGCTCCATTATCTTTATGCATTTAATGATGAATTCACACACAATATAATAACTAAATTGAATTCCCTTATTTGTTGGCCTGAAAACATCAGTGGTTATTGTCTAATGTGTCTGTCAGAAATATGCTTCATGGCCCATGGAAAGAAGCCAGTGCTCCTATTTTGACCCTGCATGTTGATGATAAGAATGTTAATAATGAGGCAATGACAATGGCTTTGGCATATCTCTACGGGCACCACCCTAAGCTTAGTGACAGTAATGCATTTCGCGTTCTTGCTGCTGCATCCTTTCTTGACCTCCAGGTATCATGTTTACATTATGACTTTAAGGGTCATAGTTTATCTTCAAAATTTAAAATATTTTAAGTCATGCCAGACTTCTCTTTTATTTACATGCTCTCTACTGTTGGTTCTTGTTTAGTTACATTCTTACAGTTGTTAAGAGTTTCTTTTGACAGACAAATCTATAAATCCATGCAGGACTTATGTGCAATATGTACAGACTTCATTATATCTGAGCTGTGGACTTCAAATTTCTTGGCTTATCAGGTTCAAGATGCTTGTATACCACTTTATGAAATGCTTGTATACCGTAGAAGTTTGTTGGTTAATAATTGTTGGCATATGATCGTGGACTAGGTATTTGCTGAAAACCAAGATTATGGCATTCATGGGGAGCGTGTTAGAAATGCTTGTTGGGGCTACCTCTGTCAAAGTGGTGGCATGGAGTTGAACGAGGTAATGAGGAACATAGGTTCACGAAGTTGCACCTGGTGGATTGGGGTAGTTGTTATATATTGATCGGATATGAAGATTAAGTTAGCTTAAACATCATTGGGAAGGAGCAGTGCTTATCTCTTAAGCTTGCTGTTGCTAATTGATAACATGAGGTCTCTTTGAAGTCAATTTTTAATTAATTTTTTATGGTTTCTTTTCTTGTAGCCCATTAAATATTGGTTAAGAAATTTTTTTCCAACACTTATTTTTTCTTAATACCATAACTCAATTTTTATTCATGTCCTCTGAGTGATCTAACTCTTAAACTTAGGATATTGTTGTTGAATATTACCATTGTCATTTACTTTCTTTCTTTCTTTTTTTTAAAGAGGAAAGGAAATTGGAGGGGATGGGTAATATTTCCTTAATTGTGTGGGCAATTCAGGTTCTTGCGTTATTGCTTGTTCCAGGTGCTTCCAAAACTTTCTTCTCAAACACTACATGCATTACTGACCTCTGATGAACTGTGGATACCGAGTGAAGAGAAGCGGTAAGTAGTTTCTGAGCCTCTAGTTGGATTTTGTGGTTAGCAGGTTGAATTTATGATTCATCTAACACTTGTTTTGTTCATGTAAAAGGTTTGAATTGGCATTACACACATTCGTGGCAAAAAATGCCCACTGGAAAGCTGAGCATCCTGAGCAAGGAAGTTCTGGTTCTGAGTCAGCTACTAATACTCATTCTGATTCTGATAATATTAAAGGAAAAATTGGAGCTGATAGCAGCACAAGTAATAGGCTGGGAACTGATCTAGGGCGTCTGAATATTAAAAGTGATGTAAAGGACGCCATTGCTCATAATCTGCAAGTTGAACTTGTGGACAGTGTGGCATGCTTCAACAATGAGGATTCTGATTCTAATCAACTGGCACAAGCAACATCATTTGCTGGTTCATCAAATTTGGAACCTAGATATGCTTGCAACATGGAAGGGCCTTCGTCAATCAGTAATTTTTTGTCAGAAAAAGATGGGATTAGAGCATCATGTTCTTACATTGAGATGCCTCTTGGTGCTGGAGCAACTGGGGTGGCTATTGAAGGGCCATCTGAGGAAGGGTCAAATTCTTTCTGCAATGGCCTCTCATCCAGTGATTGGGAAAGATACAGTGTGCCTCTTTTTCCATGGGGTGGCCGGGTAGTTGGTGGAAGACGACTTAAAGCTCACTCCAAAGGGAAGTATGGAGTTCATGGGGATGAACATGAAGCATTTGTAAATATATTTGAAGGGGGTTCTCTTTTATATTGCAATATGTCTTTTGAGGCGCTTCTGAATGTCAGAAAGCAACTTGAAGAATTAGGTTTCCCTTGCAAAGCTGTAAATGATGGCCTTTGGCTGCAGGTTTGTCAGAATTTTTTTATTATTAACTTAGTATTGCACTTAACACTTAAAACTTATATCAAGTTACCATTTCGAGCATAGAAATTGTTGCTATAAAAATTGCTTGTGACTCTCTCTCTGTTTTTTTCCTCCTGTTTCCTTTCAAACAGATGCTTCTTAGTCAGAGGGTGCAAGAAATTGCTGCTGATACATGCAAAGCTTGTTGCCTTGTGAGTGCAGCATGCACTTGCCGGCAGCCATTTGCATTTTCTCAGGGAGTTAGCACTCCTAGTTACTACATGCAAGAACATAACCAGAATAACAATTCTGGGAGCTTGGGGAACATATATGTTGCTGAGTCTTCCCAAAGTGAAGGAAGTGGCGTATTTAGACCTGTAAGAGTGCATGTTAGAGGTGCTATTGATGGGCTTGCAGGTATTGGTCGGGGAACTACATTTGTGCCAACATCTGCTTCACCACCTACACGTTTTGTCTTTTCTCGTGTGCCATTTGGTGTTGGCAACAGAAACTACCCACAATCCGCAGCTAATGATGATTCAGAGACACAAGCTGACCACAATGGAGACATGTCTGGAGATGGGTTGACAGCTTTGGTTGGGCTAAGCCAGGGAGGGAGTAGTGGAACCAATGCACATGGAGAGATGACACAAAGGGGATACGAGACTGGTATGCGAAGCAGAATCTCTGGAACTGCTGCTGGAGGCCCAAGTACTGGTGGTATTCCCATGCAAATGTTAGAGGCACCGGAACATGCCATGGGAATAGAATGGGAGAACGCTAGTAGTTCTTCTATTTCATTGGATTTGAAAACACCTTTAAGCCATTTCCCCCCTTTTCGTTTTGGGTGAGTTATGTTCTTTGCTACTATTGAACCGGAAAAGAAAGTAGCTTATATGTTGAAATCTGTTTTGTAGGCTAGTTTGATACCTAGTTCTAGTACTTTCCTGGATGTCAGGTATACTTAGGTCTAGTTCTCCTCCTGGGTCATGCTTTGCAATATTATTATCTATGATATTCACCTTTTTTTCCCTCTTTCGCTTAAAAGGGTGTCTTTCTCCTGACATTTTCTTGCTCAGAGCCTCTCTGTTGATGCGGTTAGTAGTGTGGGATTCATCAAACTTTTGTGGGACCATCATTCCCATCTTCCATTCCCTCTTTCACTCCCTCGTGTATCCTGCTATGTGCAGTGGCTGCATGGGCTGAGGAGTCCCATCAGCCATCATTGGCCTTCTTAGTCTGATATCTGATGTCTCCTTCAAATAGGATCTGATTTTATTGAAGTTTTTGGTCATCCAAGGGGGATTTTATGGGCCTTTTGCTATTTGTTATTTTATTTTGTTTTCAGTTGCAATTATTTCATCAAATGATAAATTCATATATTCTTGTTTCAGCTGTTTTTGTTCACTATGTTTTGATTTGTCTGCTCCTTTTCTTTTTTTAATTCTTTTATATGAGTTGCATAAATTTCTCAAATTCCGGTAAATTCCTTGCTGATTTTACAGAGTACAATTTGAGGATGTGCACAGGCTTGGTGATGGTCAGGTGAAGCATTCTCCGGAAGTGTTCTATGCTGGTTCTTTGTGGAAGGTACTGGAACTTCAATCAATTGTCATTCATGCAAGCCTGAGTTCGCAAAGTCCCGGTAAAATAAAATTTATTGGATTGAATTTTCAGGTCAGTGTACAGGCTTTTAATGATGAAGACCCCCAGGGACGGAGAACTCTCGGTAATGTTGTGAGGATTCAAATTAATGTTCATATGGAAATCGAGAAAATCTGCTGTCTATTAGGGAACTAATTATCAAAGTCGTTACAGGGCTGTTTCTTCACCGTCGGAAAGCAGAAATTGCTGATTTACATAGAAAGGTGAGCAAGACCTTCTGTATTTAACTAACTAGATCCCCACAAACCCCCCTCCCCAAAAAAAAAAAAAAAAGAAGGGCGATGCATGAGGACAATTGACAATTGTTTTCTGAGATATATTGAGTGAGCATGAAATGAGTGATATCTCACGAGTATAAAATCTGGAACTCTAGTAAATTTTAACAAAAAATAATATGTTCCCGTGCATTTACATAACTCAGTACCTGTTCTCACATATCTGCATCAGTCTATGAAGTTTTGGTAGACAGGAAATATAATAAACGGTTAGTTGCATCATGTTTATCTTTTAAATACATGAAATGCTTTATTTTATAAGTGAATGGGTGTTTAGCAGTCACTTGCCTTATTTCTAGGAGGATGCAATTTGCCTCTTATGGTGTGATGGCTAGCGAAACGAACTTGATGATTGATTTTCAGACCTTGGCTGAACTTTTTTAGCCGAAACCCAAAATGGTGATTTTAATTTTAACAAACTCAACCTAGTTTCATGGTTGATTTTTTAAATATGATTTTTAGGTGCACATGTACGTGGATTCTCGAGAAAAGGTGACTGCTCGCTATCAGGTAATATTTGGAGCTGGCTTTTAATATGCTTTTCTCTAATATCTCTTGTAATGTCTTAAGTTACAATGTTTTTTTTCTTTTTTTTCTTTGCATTATTGACTTTTATATAAAATAAGAGATATTTGGATATTTTGAAATCCCAAAATGGTAAAGATTTGTATTTTTTTATGATTTTTCAAAAATAAAGCTGTGTAATTATGATATTTTTCTTTACAAAATCGTCAAAAATACAAATCTTTATTATTTTTGAATTTTAAGATATCGAGATGCCTCTTATTTAATGTAGAAATCAATGATTCAAACAAAAAAAAAAAATGAAATTGAGAAGTTGGGAGCTAATAATTGCAGCGAATTTATTGCTCTATCAATTGTAGTGTATTGAGGATCGTAGATCTGAATAATAATTCTGGGCTTGCTTTGCGTTGATATTCAGTTGATTTGCCCATCAAAAAGGGAAGTGATGGTGTTCGGAAGCTTTAAACAGACAGGCACTCTTCTACCTAAAGCTCCTAAAGGATGGGGTTGGCGAACTGCTCTGCTGTTTGACGAGCTCGCCGATCTTCTCCAAAATGGGGCCCTTCGAATAATTGCTGTCGTGCAGCTCGTTTAAATTAAGGGAGCGGAGTTTCCTGCCTCGTATTAAACCATCAATGCTTTTTTGTGATTCTGTGAGCGTCAAATAGCTAAATTCTCTTACCTTTCCAGAAAAATAGTTTTCACTTCTTTGTCGAAAATCATATAGGAGGAGAGGAACCAGAATCAAGTAGCGCATGCATCTTTATGAATACTTTGCCAAGACGCATGAACACCACACAGCACTTGCGGAAATATAAGTTGTATAAATGTCGCCTGATGTGTTGATAATAAATGTAGTCGTTATCTCGAGTGTTTGTTGTAGCTTATAAATGACGAGATGTCATTACATCATGTTCAGTTGTCTAGTCTCCGTCAACTTCCCTAGTTGTAACTACGATTTGCATGAGCTAGAAATATTGCAGGTGGTGTGTGGCCAATAAATTATATTTGTTCAAACAAAGGTTTCATTTTCCTTCTAGAGGCTCCGCTTCTGGGGCGGCATCGGCTTGGTCCTGTGTTGAGCCCAAAAAAAAAAAAAAACACCACAATTGATCATGTATCATGATGAGCGGTAATTCTGGATCATACGGCCTGCGGTTGTTCCAAATTACGTTCTCTTTTTTAATTTTTATGGTGATCACTGGAAATTGGAAGCTTGCCCCCTTCCACTTGCGTTAAGAGTTTAAACAGAATCAAGTTAGTCGGCGATCGGTGACATGGCAGTATCAAGTCTTCCGTACAACTTTTTTGACTGGGACGCGAAGGAGTGATTTAAGTGGGAAAGGGAGTGGCAAACAGGTGGCCAGCCGTCTCTCTCAACTGGAGGAGGTGATTTTCAAGTTGTTTATTGTTGTATTTGAATATATAAAAATTTATTCTTTTCGTTTAAAAATATAAGATATTTTTAATTGAATTTTATTCATTAATTATTTACTTTTTAACTAACTCAATCTTTTTATATTTATCCTTACTAAACACTCTACAATAAATATAAAGTCATTCATCAATAAGGTCATTTTTAAAAAAAAGATAATGATTACACCTCAAAAGATTTAAAATATCTTACATTTTTAAACATTTAACTCTTCAAAAAATGCGTTACAGTTTTAAAAGGAGAGAGTAATTTTTAAACAAATTCTTCATTTAAATATATAAAAATATATGGGTTTGAATTATTCAATTCAAAATTCATGTTATATTTTTTTGTAATTTAAAATTTCTTTTAAACTTGAGTTATTTGATTTTTTAATTATTCTAATTCTCTCATTTATTTTTTACGTTTTTACTGTCACTTTTTTTTATTATTCTCTTCCTTCATACCTCGTTCTCACTTCTTATCAATTAAAAAATAAAGATAAATTTATTTTTTTTAATATTTCATTTTTACTTCTAATTTCATCTCGTTTCTTTTTTACTTTTAAAATTTCTAACAATTATATTGCGACCTAAGCAGATGTGGATGAAGAACAAGTGAATGAAAACATAACAATAAGTGAAAATCTATTGTTCTTTTATATTTAATTTGTTACACCAAGTCTGCTGAGCTCCTTCCCCTGTTTCTTTGTCCTTTTTCATGCATTCATTTTGGGCAAAAATCATATGATGTTCTGAACACTGTTCTTCCTTTTCCTTGTCGATCCTTATTTTCGACTCTTCTTCCTTGTTCGAATCCCATCACACAGAATCCACCTCCTATGAAACCTAGTTGATTCATGGTTTTTTCATTTAGTACGCAAATCCGAAATACCTCCTCCTCCTCCTCCGCCTCCTCCTCTACCATCCATTTGCCAATCGCCGTCCATGGCTTCGACATTCTTTCCTACTAAGACCCTGTAGCAAAGGCTAGGAATCTGAGGCCGAGGATGATACTAAATGGGCAAATGACAAAGAAGAACCTGAGCGAAGACTTGGAATCCAAGAGCTTTGATGGACTAGAAAATTTGACGTCTCTTCTCCTGAGTGAGACGCTTCACTTATCTGCTTCATTGTTACCAAAACCAAACCCTGAGAGAAACTCCATAATTTCGTGACCCAAAAAACCATCGAAGCAACATATATAACAAATAGACGTTCATGAATCAAGCCTGAATTTGATCTTTTTTTTTTTTGGGCAACCAAGTGGACATTTAAGAACGAAAAAGAGGAGAGATGAAACATATCACTTGCTTTGGCTGTTGACAAAGATGAATTATTGAGGGAGGTCACGAATCTTGAAGAGAGCGGGGATGATGGAGTGTTTCTAGTGACCGAAGTCTTGAACGTTTTCGGCACTAGGAGGAAGAGTGGAGTGAGAAGGGAGAGGAAGAAAGGTAGAAGGGACAGATAGATAGAAGCTTCAAGTGTAGATCATGTGTCAACTTTGTTGGTCAAATGAAACTTTTAATAGTCAACGTCTTTTAAAGTTAATGAGATGAAAAATCACCTTTTTTGAAAGTACTGAAACAAAATTACTCCAAACAAAAATTTAGAATACTAAGTGTTCGAAAAAAAATTCCAAGATATTTTTGTTAAAGAGGAAGGAAGGAACGGAAACAAGTGGATTTTATATTTCTATACTTCATTTCTTATGCCGCCCTACTAACATCATGAGGGAGGGCATTCATACATTGCTTCAACTTGGCAACTGCACGAGGACCAGCACCATCACTAACGACAAATTTACATGTAAGGAAATTTAACTTGAACATCCGGCAAATGAATTGTTTATTATAAACAAAAATAGCTAACAAACATGTGAAAAATTACATTTGATAACATACAGCTGGAAGTTGAATAACAGAAATTGAGGCTCTTAGCGAGGTACTCTTTTTCTACTTAGTATCTCCTGTTCCTTTAGTCGATGTTGGAATCTCGCAAGACGAGCTTGAAGACTAACCAGACTAGCTGCTTTGCGAGAGAGCACGAAGCTCAATTGGGCTACGTAGTTGTCAATAAGGCTTCCTGGTTGGTCTACTTCTGCCAAGAGTTTCATTTCCTAATAAACCAGAAGGAATAATTAGATGGGCAACAACAGAAAATAATAGCCAGTAACAACATGCCAAAGTACCCAAGTAATATTTAAGGATATGCAGGGCATTAATAATAGGCGGGCATTTCTAGCATGAGAATCCAAGGGAAAAAGCACAGAGCAGCATTCATTAAGAACCCTGCAGCATTTCAAAAGAAAAAAAAGTTCTCCACTGGCTTGGTGTGCCTGTTTAAAGCTATATATATAGACATGCATGCATAACCTCCGAAAACTGTTGGCAATGGCTTAAAAGCAGAGGAAGTGTACGGAATTAACTCCTCTATCTTATGATGATCCCACATTAAATCCTGAACTTATCCGAACTTACTTTGAAACTAAAATCTAGACATAACCTAACAAGCAATTACAGACAGACTCGTTTAGCTATAAGAAAAAACAATCACTTACTTCACGAACAATCTCCATCGTGTCCTCTATTTCTTTCCGATGAGCAGCAATCAATGCCTCTTCCTCCTGCAAAATTAAGTTAAAGTTTTAACAAAAAGCGAGAATAAGTTTTACATTCAAGCGAACATTGGCAAAGAAAGAGTAATTTCACTTAGTTGAACCTCAAGTATTGCATTGATATTCCCATCAGGAGATAAATCCATTTCAGATTGCCTAGATCCAACAGTATTTGTGCTATAATTCCCAGTGCTCTGCTGCTTGGAGTTTGTCGTCAGTAGATCAGACCCATTAGCATCCCTTTTCAGCCACTTTATAGATCTTTCTGACTTCTCCTCTTTAGAAGGTTTCCTACGAGGAGGAGATACTTTCTGAACTTTCTCATCTATATCAATTGAGTTTTGGGAATAAGAGTTCATCTTCTGATTGTTGATGATATCATTAATAGAATTCTTTGCTTCAGACCTTTCCCTCTCCAAAGCCACGCCTTTGTCCTCTGGCCCATTGAACATATACATTGATGGAAGATTTGAAGGCTGTTTGTCAACTTCAGCAGCAGAGCTGTGTAAAGAAACTTCCTTATCCACCAATCTTCTACCTATTTCCATTGTTTTCACCTCTTGACGCTGATCATTGACATCCTCTGTACTGGTACTCGCTGGAACTGAAATTGATGAAACCTCCTTATAAGATTGTGGTACAGGATTTGAGGCCTGATCCTTCTTGGGATTTCCACTTTTTGACAGACTTTTAACCCTGCTCATATTATAATGACCAATCAGTTAAAAAGTACAGACAAGAACAGTGTAGGAAAGTGCCCTATCATTAAGTTTTTACAGTCAATACTATGGGGAAGCTCATACCGATCTGCATATCTTAAGGTATTAAGCGTGTGTTCACAAGATCCAGCATTCGGAGATACACAAGAGATCATAACAGTCTTGGAATTCCCAACAAAAGAGTCACGAAGTACTTCTGTAAGTTTGCTTCCACGAAATGGAATATGAATTTGGTCATTATCTAGGGCACGAATGCACTCCTTCAGAGCCAAAAGGCTCTTGTTGATTTCTGCCCCTTCAATCCTGTAGAGATGCATAATGTCACGACATGAAGTGATTCGCTACTATAGAAAACAAGTGAAAACAGACAGGAAGTTATGCCTATCCATCTTCACACCAATTTTAAGAAAATACAAATTAAATTACTAATTCGGATACAGACAAAGCCATCACACTAACACATGTTAATTTTTTCTTCTGTTTTGACATTTGCAAATGAATTCCAGATGGCAACACTGCTACCAGTTGATTTTTCAAATAAGGGAAAAATTAATAGGATATTTTTATTTAATGTAGACAAAGTACCGTGTCTGACGATCATTGTCAGTGGTGTCAGCACCTCTTTCACTTCCAGCAAGATCAATAAAAGAAATTTTCCCCACAACCTTCCCAACTTTTGCCTCATTTCCATCATTGCTCCGTTTACCCTCTTTCACCTCACTGTGCTTCTTCACAGCCAATTGTAAGATAGCATGTGACCTGGAGGACTCTTCATTAGCACCAGTGGATCCAGTACTTCTGGCAGCATTCCCTTTCTCAATGAATTCTTTGACAATTTGTACATCAGAAACTTCAAATTCTTGCAGCCCTACAATGCAAACTTGTTGTCGTCCGTCTTCTCTCATGCAAAGTTTCCTATTCAAAGGAAACAAACAATCATGCAATGATTTGTTAACAGTTTGTAGTCAAAAGTGTGCACAACTTACAGGTCAATACACTGTGAAAGAAAAAGACAAATGCGTATGCATTTTGGTTGACAAAAATGGATGATTCATGAACATGCAAATACAACAAGAAATAGAAAAATGCATGCTTAATGTAGAATGATGTTCCTAGACATCAAAATGATTAAAGTGACTTGGGTAAATAATTTGACACCT